TACAGAGAGTGCCCATCACTGTGTTTTTACAGACATGAGTGTGTGACAGGGTAGTACCCATACTATCCAATGGACTTCTGGGAACTGTAACCTAACTGTTTGAATGTGTGTTGATGCAGGAAGCCTGACTAAGGAGAAAGGCGTTCTTCAGTACAGTGTTAAACTGGATGTAACTCTTCTGAGTGCGGTTCTCAAGATTAGATTGAGTTCTGTAGACAGGGTCATAGACTGTTTCGTCATCGTTGACATCTATTGCCTCTTAGCTCTTGTGGGTGATATGATTAAATTAATGACACAGCAGTGCACACAATGTCCTCCGTAAATAGTGCTGGACATACAGTACACAGCACAGTACACAGAGTACTGCTTACAGTACATATACAGTAGTACACACTCGAGACATGATTCCTCAACCAGGCCCTAGCCGTCACTGTAATCTTATGTCAAAAAACACTGAACTGCTGGTATCAAGGAACTTAATCGAATTAATCTGCAACATTTGCAAGTACATAAAAAAACACAATGCACATTAAAACCCTCCACTATGGCCTTTGGCCAATTTTTACTTTATAGCAAACAAAATCGGCAAATTTCCTGTAGGCGAAGATGAATAAACTCCAGCCCTTTCATGTTCCTGGAACAGCTGTTAAAGTGCCACGTCTACCCATGAAATTTCAGGCATCTAGAAATCTCTAGGAGAAAACTTCTCTTTGAAAAAAGTCAACCTTAATTCCTGCGTATCAGCCACGGAGAAGAAAGCCATTTCTGTTTACGGCAGATATTTTCTTATTGTGCGTGGCATACCCAGAAACAATTTCTATAAGCCTGTGAACATTTTAATTTGAACGGTAGCCGGGGAGAGGAGCTGCATGTTTGCTGGGAACAGCTGTGGGGTGGCAATTGTTGTCGTCCTCCAGGTGCCAAAAGTCCTTACAATTCCAGAAAGAAAAAAATCAGAGCTTTAATTACGTCTGGAACGGCTTTTATCTCATGACGGGGCTGAACGGCCGGCCATGAGACCTGGGGCCCTGCGACTTCGGTATTTTGAGAGCGGGCCACGACGCAAGGGGGGGGGCAGTTTTTCTGGAAGATTCTCCTGCAGGCCTGGGCAGAGCAGGTAACTGAACACAGCAGAGGGCAGCGGGGGAAACGACTATTCGCACTGCAAATGCCACAGGCCAAGCCAAGCTCTGCAGGGTCTGCATGTCCAACTGCATGACACTCTTTCAGCACCTACAGCTAAGAACAGCAGTAAAACAGATCGGTGGGTTTGTGTGTATAAACGTGGTCGACTTCATCTGCTTTTTAAAATTCCACGCACAACGAGTTTAAAAACAAAAATTTCAAGAGGTAAAAGTACATCAAGGCCTTATGGTCATCCAAAACAGCTCCTCAAAGTTAATCAAAGCTCCTTTTTTAAGAGACATCAAATTTCTTGCTTTCCAAACCCTTTATCAGTCTTTGTTGAGTTGTAGTGAAATGCGATCCTAACTTCTCTAAGAGACAGCTGGCTTGATTTCCACAACTCTTTACTCTGTGGGTTCCCTAACACTCTTATCAGTAAGTGGCAATGTGTCGAAAACTCTGTAGCTAGATCTCAAACACACACCAGACCTTGACAGATTATCACTCCTAGTTTTTCATTTCTACATTGGGTGCCAATAAAGTCACATATTCAATCAGATCTTATTGACTTTTAAAGCTTTAAATAAATCTGACTCCATCATACATTTCTGACTCCTTCTTGTTCTATACTGCCTTCCATAAGCTCCATTCTGTAGAGTCCTTTACTCCCTGTACCCTGGACTTAATCTCTTGGTGGCTGTGCCTTCAAATTCTTTGACAAAATCCATCTTTTTACCAGGTACTATACCTGATTGCCTTATATTCTATTTTCCCCTCTATTGTACTTTTTATCAATATGTACTGTGTCACCGGGTTTGTAAAGGCACTTTATAAATAAAAGATTATTCTTATTCTTCCTTATCCTTATTAAAGGCAAATGGCAATTATATTATAGCTAGAATCAGCATTTCCAAGTATGTGCAGCGCCATGTTCTGCAATTCAGAAGGAGACAACCAAGCTTCCGGTGAGGTGTTGCGGCTCTATTACATTGTGAACAAGCAGGTTTGTGAGCACATCTCTTTTAATCCAGTAGAAATATTGCTCTCGTCTTTGAGACGGTTTTGCTGACAAATACAACTTACTTGTCAAGTCTGCATGCAGATCACATTGGAACATATCCGAGATGAAATGTCTGCTGCACAACCTGTACTTATTCGCTCGTACATCGCATCACAGTAGTCATTACAGTGACTAGTGAGCAGGAAGGGCAGCATCACGTCGCAATTTGAGCAAACTCTCTGGCCCGTGGCAAGTCCAGTGGTTTGCAACAACAACGGTGACCATGCAGTATTTTCACAAAGTACACGATTCTGTGCCTAAATTCCACATTTTTCTATACTGTCGATGAATTTACTTTGTTACTGAAATTGAGTAACCGGTCTGAGAAACTCAAGACTGCAGTTCCCCTTTAAAACATAAAAAAAAGCTTGAAAATGCAAACCCCTCCCCAGACTTCGAGCTTTAAAAAGAAAATTTTGCCTGCTTGTAGCGATTATACATTCAACACACATTCACCTCATCTCCCTCTTCACTTTTCACAACTTGTTGAGCTTTCATGACTTTGGTAGAAGCGATTGCAGAGCCCAGTGCCTAAAACACACACAAAGAAAACACATTAGTAAAAAAAAACAGAGCTTTTAGGTAATCCATGAAATTAAATAAAGCCCTGCGAACATGTCAGAACTAGTGGCAAACAGCAGGCGTATTCGCTGCCGGATGGGACTCACCTCCGCCTTCAAGTCCGACCGGATTCGCACTATGCACCTCTTCACCGCCATCTGGAAAGTGAAGCTAATGACACCCCGAATCTTCAGCAGCGCCTCCTCACACAGGCTTCGCCGGCTCTGGGGTGCAACATAGTGGAAAACAGCACTAATTTAAAAACGGGTCAGAAGAGAAGCATTAAATCAGTGGTTTCCAGTCGTGGTCCAGGTGACCCACACTCCTGTTGGTTTTTGCTCCAGTTCAGCCCGAGCTCTCAGCTAGAGTCAAACCTCTCACTGACTTGACGATATTGTTAAAGGGGAACTGCACCACTGTTCTTATTTTTCACGGTTAACAGGAATCTGTGCTGATGAGTGCATTTTAAACCACAGAACATGAAATTTCCAGCTACAGTATGCCCAGAGCCATATTCTCTGATTCACAATGAGGCAACAAAACATCCAGTGTGGTGAAGTGGCCCTATTACATTGTAAACAAGCAGGTTTGCAAACACATCTCTTTTAATCCAATAGAAAAATTGCTCTCGACTTCAAGACACCTGTTAACTCTGCATCCTGATCACATTGGAATATTTCTGTGGTGAAATGTCTGCTGTACTTATTCGTTCACATATCTCATTACATTAGTCATTACAGGGACTAGCGAGCAGGAAGGGCTGCATCACATCACAATTCACTTGAACCCCTGCTCTTGCCTGTGGCGAGACCAGTAGCTTACAACAACAATGGCCATCATACAGTACTTTAAAAAAAATTCACAATTCTGTGGGTAATTCAAAATGTGTCAAATGTTTCTATACCGTCAAAGACTTTATTTTTGCTACCAAGATTAAACAACCACGGGTTGAGAAATTGGGACTGCAGTTCCCCTTTAATTTGAACTGTTTGTTCCCAGCTCTGAAACGCATTGGAGCTTTTACCGTTGTATTTTACTGACTAACTATCGGAAATCCTGGATTATGATCTACAGGTACATGTTCAACAGAGGTCATTACAACTACTACAGGGCACCAGAGGCTTATCTAAAATAACATCTGGATTTGTTTTATAAGACTATAGTCACTCACAGCATCATCAAGCCCATCTATGTGTAAAACGACTGTTTTGGCACGCTTGTTTGTAGTTCCCAGGAAAAACTGGGCTTTGCGCCTGCAGGAGGTGGCCCCTTCAGCCTGGTCTGCCTCCGCGCTGCTGGAAGACTGCAGGATCTCATAGATCTCGGAAGCAAGCAGCTTGGTCTCTCCCGGCGTCGTTGTCCTAGAAGTAGACAAACACGGCACAGGTTTGTGCACAAAGGAGACTAACGTATACAGGCTGCATCAATCCACAACACATAAGAACTCGTATCCCTTAAGAATGAATGTAAATGGAGTGGGGGGTGTTTTAGGTCTGCTCCCAACTAGAGAATTAAACTCCTAAATAAAATAAAATTACATGTGCAACATGCGTTGCCTCCAATACTCCAGTAATTTGCCTATTGCTGACTGCCATCGAGAGCAAACGAGTAGCATCCTCAGTTAAGAAGTGGTATGTATATCCTTGAGACATGTTAAAACATGCAAATTACAAGAGCATAAATTAACGACATGTTGTACAACAAATAGAAAACCTGCATCTCATTTTAAATGACAGAGTAAGGCAGGAATAAAGACATTTTTTAAATACCCTTTGATTCAATCAAACAGCAGAATAGGAAAAGGGCAAAAATCGAAAAAGTTTAGGGGTGCAGCACACATTGCGTTCTTCTTCGCAGGAACAAAATGTTCATGTTTTGGAAGTAACATACACAGAATGATTCAAAGTGGAACATTAACAGTCATAATAATCAACGGCTACAATCCAAATTTAAGGATGCTTTTCAGGAAAGTCAAAGCGCCATACAATAGTACACACAGCACAAAACAGAAGCAAAACATGCTAAAAGAAAGAAGTGCAGCAAACTGACTGGGTGAAACTAAAGAGTGAGACGCTATTACACATTAAAAACTTTGAAAACAGTCTCAAATGCGTTTGGACAGGGAGTTTCACAGACATGATACTGCACTTGAGAACACTGTCTCCCATTCTGTCTTCAGCTGAGTAAAAAGGCCTGAATTGGCAAATCTAAGGTTATGAGCTGGAAAGTTCTGTCCTGAAGTAAATATTTAAGACAAACTGGAGCTAGAACCCTCCATGCCTTCAACATGAACAGAAAGGTTAGGAAATCTGTGGTAAAAAAAAGCAGCAGGAGAAGGTTGTCACTGTTCTTCTAGCACATAACATTCCACCTGAACCTGAGGTTCCCACGTTTAGCCTGCACCTTAATATACAGAACGTTCTGCCAAGTGTAAGAAACATAGCACTGCAAGGGACTGCTCCCTGGTGCGTTCTGCTTTAAAAACAGACTCTGACAGCCACCAAATTGTCACGAGTGCCTATGCTGAAGCCTTTCACCTTCTAGACAATGTGGTGAATCTTTTAAAAGGACAACTATTGCATTAAAACAATGAATTACAATGAATTAAAATACTCTACATTGGAACAAGTAAAGGTTTACACCTCAGCAGGTCAGGGGAGTTGCCATGGAGCGGAGCAGAGCGGTGAAAGGTGGCTCTGTGGCTGTGGCTGGAAGGTTGCCGGTTCAAATCCTGCAGCCGGCAGAGGAATCCTACTCCGTTGGGCCCCTGAGCAAGGCCCTTAACCCTAACTGCTCCAGGGGCGCTGTACAATGGCTGACCCTGCGCTCTGGCCCCAAGCTTCTCTCCCTGTCTGTGTGTCTGTGTCTCCATGGAGAAAAGCTGGGGTATGCGAAAAGACGAATTCCTAATGCAAGAAATTGTATAGGGCTAATAAAGAAACATTATATTATATATTATATACATGGGTACCAGGATGGGACCCAGTTATGCTAATATTTTTGTCAACCGGGTAGAAGAATGCTTCTTAGCTTCCTAAATCAGTCTTGTCACTGACCTCTACAGGCAATTCATCGATGGCTGCCTCATGCTCTAACGACCAGCTAGAGCATTTCCTGCATCATTTCACCATCTTCCACCCATCCCTCAAGTATACAGTATACTTAATATATCTTCCACTACTCTTCCGTTTCTGGACATAAACCTATCTATTAACCATCCACGACTCTCTACTACAAACCCACGGATTCACACAGCTATCTCCAGAACTCTCTACCTTCTGCACAGTTCCTCAGGCTCCAACCTGTACTTTGCAATGAAGACATGGACCCCGTCCTCAAAATGCACTCTTTTTTTCCATTAACAGAGGATACCACACCCATGTTATTGACAGGGCCCTCACCCGAGCCAAAAACAGCCCTGGGATCATGAACTCAATCAGGAACTCCTGGAACAACCACATTCCATCGGTGCTTCCCAACCACCCCAACACGCTTTCTATTTTCATCCTCAGGACCGTTAATGACAACTTCCCCTTCTTACAGGATGATCCCCCCACCGCTACCCTCTTTTCTGACTGCACCATCATCTCATTTGGCCAACCACCAAATCTGTGTAACCTTCTTGTCCACAGCTCCCTTGACTGCACTCAGCAATCATCCCCACCAGGCACTTTCCCCTGCAACAGAGCTCGCTGTATCACCTGCAAGTATATATATCCATTACCAGGCATATTCAAGGCCCCTCTGGACAACGCCAGATCACCCAGATGACATCATGTATTTCCAGTAACCTTATTTACTGCATCTCTTGCAGAAAATGCCCAGCTATATATAAACCTTTACCTTTTCTTCTGCAGCCTACACATGCTGACGCAGCTACCTACTTGACACCTACACTATTTTACTTTTAAGAACTGAAAGAATGAGGCATTTTCACTGCAAAAACATTAACTCACACTGTCAACCTTCTATTACACATTACATTTGTAAGGATGCAACAAAGCACCCACAGGCTGTAGATGGCAGATGTGTCACGAAGTCAACAGTAATAGGACTGGACGTGTGCTTACTAGCATATTTTAACTGTTTGCCTCATCTACACATTCGGGGCTAATCATGTTTTCTGCTTTAAGCTAGATTCTTTATGTGCATACATTTCCAGGCTTTGTTAGGACACAGTACAAGATATGTGTTAAAAAACTTCACTAACGCAATGTTGTGCGATAATTAAGTTTACTGCCCCATCTGCAAAAAAGCACAGAGCGAGAATCTGCGTGGACTGGCAAAGGGGATTACGGCGAATTAAATAAAACTGAAATGGACAGCAGTTGGTGTGTGAAAGCTTGAGGTTGTAAATCTAACAATACCATGAGCACACAGCACAGCTGCATAGCAGATGTTACTCAATTATCTTTGCTCAGACTCGATATAGACCCCAGCAATAAATGACCTTCACCAAAGTTAAGCCTTGAAATAATAAGCTGATGGAGCCTCTCAAACTTCGGGGCAATCCCTGACAAGCGTGATCCTACATGAAGTGACTGGTCAGTGACTGGGCTGGTCACACGGATGCCTGAAGAAAGAAAAATTCATACAATGGATTGCCAACTTCTGGCAGGGCTGTCTGCAAGCATAAAGATTAGCAGCAACCTCATACAAGAAGAAACCCTTCTGCAATTGCAATTCAGACAAACTACAACGACCAACCAATAATCGATTACAGATCAACTGACGGGTATAGTGCCTAATACAGATTGCTGCTATTTTGATACCAAACCCTGTCAAAAGGAATTGATTACAGTCAGGCAGAGAAGAAGCAACATTACCAGTATGTGCTGGAAATCTATTAAATTCAGTTCTGTAGTAGAGAACACGGATGAGGCTGTATTCATATGTCACAAGCTGCAAAACATCATGGGCTTCTTTGTGAGTGTGGCACGCTCATGCAATCTGCTATTTAGAAAAAAATAATACATTTGAGACACTTGAATATGACCTGCCTTTGCTGCTACAATTTGCTCTGTGTGATCTTGGAATTGAGGTGAACACATGTTCGAGAGAATGATTCAATAAAGAGATAAAGACATGTATAGAAACTGTAGCCACCTGAAAAGCCCTGCAGTGAACAGCAAAAATAAAACAGACAAATGGAAAGAACGTCCTTATTTCAGCCATGGATAGGAGAAGCCATGTTGAAATGAATATTTTTTAACATAGAAAAATAATTATTCCTAAACAATTTAGTCCCTCGCTGCAGCTTTAGGAAGTAAGCTAAAACTGCAGAAAGCAAATGTAAAAACATTTATTCTAGCATTTTGAACCAATAACCGTTTCAGCAAAGCCTGGGAAATTGCAACCGAACAAGCACCTAGGCAAATAACTACTACTATAACTTTCAATCTAATGGTTTTGAGTGTTCATGTGTTTGTAATGAGAACAGCGCTGATCGCTTCAGACCTCAGGAAGGAAGCCAGACTGGGCCTGGTCAGCACAGGGATGGGAGACGTGGAAGGGAACCAGTAACTGACACCCCTCTCTCTGGACCAGACAGTCCCCAAGCTAATGCCCCAGTAAGGATACAGGAGATGCTGCCCTTTTAATGAGACTTGAAACAGAGGTTCTGACTACAGCATCAGTAAACCTCTCCTGACACTCGCAAGAGCAGGGGCGTTTAACCCAGTGTTTTACCTAGACTCCACTCTGAGCTTACACTGTCTGGCCCACAGTATGTGAAGTTCCCCGCTAGTAGACAGAGTGGAATAGCAGAGTACAGTGGGTCTTTATTATCCCCAAGGGGCAATTGGTTTTACAGCAGCAGGCAAGAGAGAAAAACACAAAGCACCACACATATACATGCATAAGAAAAAATACAAGGTTAAGGCTGCAGGCATGAATGAAGACTTAAAGCTGTTTGTTTTTAGATTGGGAATCTGTTCTGAGGGGAATACTGTAATTCATTACACAAAACAAGTGAAGGGTTCTCTAGAAAGGAATATGCTTTATGCAAGACTCGTAACTAGCAAGATGTGGGATAGCACCAATGACTTGCTAACATCGTTTGATTGTATTTTCCAGTTTGTTCTCCGCAGATTCAGATTCCCAAACCAGCAGATCGGTGTTAAAAGTTGAAGCAGATTCAATTAAAACAACTGATAAAACTTAATCAACAATTAAAAATCCGCCTTCAACTAATTCAACTAGTAAAGTAAATTGTCACTACCCTACAGAGCTGCCCTTCAGTTGGTGGGGGGTTTCCATGCTATATGTAAACTCCTTTGGGATGTAATGCACTATAACAATGCAATTCATTCACATTTATGGTTAACATTTATTTGTAAAGCGCCCCAAGATGGCCTGACATAAAAGATACTATATTAAGATTTTTCAAATCTGCAAAACAACAGTCTGTTAAAAGACACTGAAGGTTTTTTCGGAATTCCTCTCTTTGGGAAGTGACATCTGAATTGAGTCCTGCAGAAATGACTTACTTTTGCATGACATTTTGCAAACTCAGCATCATCCCCAGCTCGCCTTTCATTTTCTCCCTGTTGGCACGGCATTCTGCTAGGTAACGCACAGCCTGTGAAGGACAAAGATGCATGTGTCAACACTCACAGCACGGGGTTCAGATCTCCATACCTCACTGCTCTGTATGCAGAAAAAGCATAATATGAGAGGTGAGCACACAAGGCTTAATTACAAAACTCAAAAAGTCATCATCAACAGATCATGCAAGTCATTTGATAGCCACAGTTAAAAGTGCTCACCCAGAAGATGCATCAAAAAATAAAATAATCTTTAACTCTGCATTGATTCATCTGTATTGCTGGATTGTTCCAAACTACTGTTTGAAAAACATCTTAACGGTGAAGAAAACAGGCCTGGAGTCACACTTGTTGGTCTAATGTATTAAAATATGGCAAAAGAAAAATAAAGAAATACAACAAGGTATTGGAGGAGTAGGAACAAATATACACTGTCTAATCACTGGGCAGTATGGTCATTCATTTATTTCCTTTTGTTTAATTGTATAATGTTAGCATGCCCAAAGGGGTTGGGCAGCCAGCTGACCCTGAACCCCTAGAGGTTTGTTTTCTCCTTACTAAGGAGTTTTTGGTTCCTCTCCTCTGTTATCTTCTGGTCTTTATTCACAACATGGTTAATTGAATTGTTAAGCGCCTTGGGCAACCTTGTTGTGAAAGGTGCTATATAAAAATAAATTGAGTTGAACTGAATAAGGTAGAGTGTAATTAGCACTGTCTGACTCAGCACTAAGCTAGACAGCAGCATTCTAACCTGGCTCCAACACATCTCTGAAGCCAACGAAATGGTCAGGATGGGAGTCCTGCAGGAAAATCCAGGCAGCTCCTGGAAGTGGTGTAGAGTGTAGGTAGACCAGTAGGTGGCACTCTCTCCTGTGCAGCAGAACTCCAAAAAGCCAATGCCCCCATACAATAACCGGGGACACTGCGATGTAAGAGGTGCTGCTTTGACAAGACCAATTTCTCACTTCCCCAACCTATCTGCTGAGTTGTGGGGCGTAAAGGCTGCTGCATGGCACCCACACGAGTGCCTCGGGTGTGGATAACGATCAGCTTCAGCTGCTGGAAGATAACCAGTATTTCTGCCTCACATTTCAACCTGAGGCAGGACATAACCAGCTTCCGAGAACTCAACATAACGCAATAAAAAACAACTGCAGATCCAATCCATTACTTTTAAACGGTGCTTCTTGTTTAGTATCTTGGAAGCAGAAACCTGCTATGACACTGCAAAACAATATTTTGTGATTTGGTATTTCAGCATTTTATGCAAAACAAAATGAACTTTGCTCTTTGTCCAGCTCAATTGTCAAAAATGAGAAAATGTAACACACAACACTAGAAATAGAAGCAAAGCGATGTTGAAGATGTCCTATGGACAATCGGTAAAATTAACAGTACTGTGCATCATTCCTGTTCCACCTCCTACACAATGTTTGCTCCTCCACCCAGAGCCCAGCTGACTTTCATCCTACAGAGCCTGTGTATTCGCTGGCATTAGCCTGTTTTTTTTGGATCATGTGTCTTTTGTTTACCTTTCCATGCCTGTGGAGAACATTTTGTAATGATCTGGGAACATGCAAAAGTAGTGCTCTGCCAAAAGCCGGGACAAATATTTTTCCCTTTGAATATTTGCGTAATTAATCATAAGAGTGAGAATGTGAATTATTCTTCACAATTAACTTAAAGTCTTCACACTTTCAACCTTGAATGATGCAGCATAAAGAAACGGAAGCAAATTCAGGTGCTAACGAGGTAACAATGTCTTTTCATCATTTCATTTGTACTAACTAGCAGGCAATTTCTTTATTTGTAACATAAATACTGATTTGCTTATTTAAAACTTTATTTCTATCATTTCAAATTATAGAAAAAAAGAACAGTACTCTCCAGCAATATGTAACAGAAGTTACAAATGCCTGCCATCAGAAAGTGCACATTTAATTTTCTTAGGTGCTAAAAATGTGTTTTTGTGAACCAATAGGCAAAACAAGCCGAATGAGTCAGTCTTCCACAAATACAGAAAGCAAAAATTTACATCAGAAAGACATGTAACACCTGTTACCTTCTGTTTGGTACGGTGTTTGGACCGTAAATATGTCCAGCTATTACACACAACAGAAAGGCAAATGCCAATCAGATACTAGGGCATACTCAACACGTATTTAGAAAATGGACAGTAAGTCTTGACTAACAAACATGTTACAGTTTTTCAAACAAACATCAAAAGTAATGCACATACATAGGACACGTATGTTCTACTTAGATTGGACTGAGAATTAGTTAATAAGCAGAAACGAGAAGGGAAAGATTAGGGATGATGGAATTAGTGGTGTACCACAGGGATCTCTATAAGGACCACTGTACTTCCTAATTTGTATCAGTGATCTAGATTCTGGGATAGTCAGTAAACTAGTCAAACTTGCAGATAATACCAACATAACACGAGCAAACAACGTAGAAGCAAATTAAATAATAAATATTTATATGAAATTTAAGACTGTACAAACACTTGGCTGATGTTTAATGTAGAAAAGAGCAGGGTTTTGCAACCAGGTATCAAAAACAAACTAATATAAAATGGGAAAAGAGCTAAAAAGGGCTCATTTTTTAGATTATAAAATATATTACAGTATGTTGACAAATCCAAAGTTTCTTGTAGACCAGAAGTTTCTAGTCCTGATCCTTGTTTTTATTCCAGCTGATCTTGATCTACCAAGCTGCTTGATTGGAATACTTGCAAATGTTTTTCGCCTCAAAATTCTGGGATTTCGTTTTACTTACAAAATAAACGAGATAAAACAAAACCTTATAAAATTTTAAAAGCTAAAAACAGCAAAAGAGTTTGAACTAATGCAATTACTAAGTCAATTAAGTTTCACGTGTAAAAGAGTGTGGTTGGACCAAAATCTAGCAGGTGTGGTACAGTATTAGAAGTCCCTCTTCTAGACAATGTGGAGAATAAATTAAAATGACAAATAAAATACTATGAAAATACTAACAAAATATAAAGAATAAATAAAATCTATAGTTAAAACCACAGAATTTAATAGGGGATGTTTTGTTGGAATTGTACAATACACTAGTAAGACCTCGTTTAGAATATTGTGGACAGTTTTGATCTCCAGATTATGAAAAAGATATTGCTGCTCTGGGATCAGTCCAAAGAAGAGCAACTAGATACAATCTGGAGCTAAAGGGATGGTCCTACAGTAACAAGATGAAGGAACTAAAACTCTATAGTCCTTTTTCAGCCTTCTGAATCCTCAGAGGCCTTGACAAAGAAAAACCAGAGGGCTTCTTCCTGAAGAACAGTGAAACACAAACCGCTATGTGGAAGTGCATTTCAAACTGAGAAGACAAGGCACTTCTTTATCCAAAGGGATGAGGGGGTCTGGTACAAACTACCCACATTGCTGAAGTTGCTAACCCTGGCTTCTTTCAAGAAATAGCCAGAGGCCAAGATCCCCGGATTATTTAGCTGATATTAGCCACCAAACAGGCTAGACTAAAGGGTTTCCGCTCAACTCTAGCTGTTCTTATGTTACCAAGTTTGCCATCTGTTTTCTCTGAGTGCTTCGGCCTTCTTCCACATTCCAGATATGCTGGAATGTGAAAATCCCTAAACTGCGCGTGCGAGAGTGTGTGGTCATGATGGGCTGGCTTCCACAACAGGCTTTGGGTTCCTGCAACCCATGACAGGAATATTCGGCTTTATGACTGTGGATGCTGAGAGAAAAGTGTCAAACTCTAAGTAAAACTGTCACATTATCAGAGAGAGGCTGTTACATGCCGAACAAGTGTCTGCTTACCTAAGCTTTGCGAAAAAGTGAAGGAATCCTCAGACAATCAAAAGCAGGCATCATCGTAATACAAAAAAATAAAAAGAGAACAAACGGAAGAACACTACTTTCTTAATGTTTACAAAGTTTCTGTGCAAATAACCAGAGCATAGTTCTAGTTTACACTGTATGAGAATTCATAAAGCAGCTAATTACTACATCTCAGAGATTTTACCTTTCTAACTCCATGAGCCCCACACTAGTAAAATGATTTTTGCACATTTTGTTTGGAACCTTTTTTATAAATTGGTCAAATAAAACATGTAGGAGTCTAGAGTCACTAGGAAATTAGCAGGATGGAAAAAATAATGAAAAACTGGATTGCTTAAATTCACCACTTAAATCAACTGATCCACAAGTTTAAGAATTAAAGCAACAATTAAACATTGAAAACAGCCAAACAAAATGGACAAATAACCAAAACACTGAGAGCAAAGTGAGGAAAGAGGTTTGTAGGGAAAGATATGCAAATCAAACTCAGAAGTACATTTGTGTATTGTAGAAAAACAAGTAAAAAAGTAAAGGCAAAAAAGCTAAGGCTAAGCAAAAAGGGAAAGCACAGGTTGTTTTAGAAAGATAGACACATCAAATTGATTCCTGAGTGAGGATATGAACAGGATCTATACAGTATGTTTTTGAAACATGAGTGACAGTAGTTTAACACAGACAGCCATTCATTTCCACAAGTAAACTGAAAGAAACATTCTCACAGTATTTCTCAAAAGGGAGTTAACATTGCCTTGATGGTTCTCTCATCGAGAGTTTCTGCTGTCTGACCCCTGCGACTAACCCATCGGCGGCTGTGCTCCACGGAGACATTTTAATTCCACTCATGAAAATGAGCGTGATCAAAACATTTAAATGCAAAGCCCTAGAGACACAGAGTACAGAACTAACTTTCAGCAGGCCAGCACAATGAAACAGTCCAGGATGCTTCCAAAGATTCAAAATGTAAAGATAAAAGAGAACAGGCCCTCTCTTCAACAGACACATAAGGTGACAAAGTGTAACCCTGCTTAAGCAGTGCGACGTTTCTAGGCCTTACCAGAAGCGCCGAGTAGACAACCTGAGGGTTAGGATGATCCAGAAAGAGTATGAGGCCCGGCAAGCACCCTTGATCCTGGACAATAGCTCTCCTGTTGAGGGGATCAGCTGCAAGCTCTCTCAGCTGGTTCACTACAGCCAGGGCGTCGGGCTCCAAGCTCATGGCAGCCACTTACTGTGACATGCACATCAAATCAGGCGGCTTGCTCTGCGGGGACAAAAATGCGGACTTGAGACAGCGACGAGGGAAATGGGGTTCGTTTTTACATCACAGGAGGAGAAGCGAAGCCACGGGCCTCCTCGTGTTAATGCCGACGTTCGCAGGGTGTCAATTCTCTCGAAATATCCGACAGCCTGCCATCCTCTCCCATCCCGAAGGAGGACAGCTCAGGCCCGTCTACAACGCTGAAGATCTGAAAGGTTTCTGAGGAGCTGGCTGACCCAGAGAAATACTTCACATGGTGACGGAGTCTGGCACGTGTGCACTTTCTTACAGAGTTCTCATCAGACGCGCTTCAACATGGTCAACACACTGAACATCTGCACACAAACCTTGAACACAGGCTGATGTCCTCTACTGTTACAGAACCTCTGACGCCTAGGGGCTTTGCTTGTCCAGAGCTGAAGCACAGGAAATTTAAGATATCCAAAAAGATACTCAATGGAGAGGCAGATTGTAGCTTCCTGTTAGATTGTAGCAAAAGGACGTTTATAATGAGTATGATTTCTCACACTCCGATCATCTCTATTTGTCCTACCTCTGAAACTTTTCCCAGTAAGGATGAATCTTTGTTAACCTAAATATTCACTCTTTTGGTGGGAGTCCTCCTTAAAACTTTATTACTTATGATCATCTCATGCTCTAATTGGTCACTTGAGAACAAGAACATGGTAAAAACTGTTCAGACCCAGAAAGATTTGATATTGTTTATTAAACTATACTTAGCAATATCTGGGTTTATACGTCACTTATCTAGCCTAGTAATTAACGATGAATTAACAGTGTCCAGATGAAGGGTTTCAACACGTATTCTTTCAGTTCACGCGTTTTAAAACTGCAGACCGTTTTAAACAGGTCACCAGACAAAAATGTGGATGTCCGGATTCCAGTAATCCATATTTCAGATTGAGTGGCATCCATTCAATCAGTTACTCTCATATGTGACCACAAACAGAATACCCCACACACCGCAAAAATAGTCTTTTGGCAAATCTGATGTCTTCTAAAATATGACTGAGCACTTTCAATTTCCAATTTTTATAATGCCAAATGGTCTGATTATTCACAGATGGAAGACATATGTTAGTTTTTACCTTGCTCTTCTGTCAGCTCTTTTGTCTAAAGTTGTAGTGTTAATTTTGTTTAAATCCCACAGCTTCACGTGTAAATGCTAGTTACCTCAACTGATTTCTTTATTTGCCCCTTCATATTTTACTGAACTGTGTCCGCAGTTCTTTTAAACACTTTGAGTTAACAGGACTGGTATTTCCTCATACATTAAGGAAAATGTCTTCACTTAAAAAGTCGTTATGCTTTTGACCTCACATCCCTCATATTACCTCCAGGACAAACAGTTTACAGTATGTCTTCTTCAGGACAGCAGCCCACCCGTGAAAGACACTGAGGTGGTCAAGTCACCACCAGGTTAAAACCCAAATTAACACTGCGGGACATTGAGCCTCGACAGGCTACAAGCTACAGCGATGTAATAACCGACGAAAAAAATGACTTCCATTATTATAGTTATATTCAAACTATATATAATGGCTCGGGTAATCGTTAGCGAAGGTAAATTTAAATTACTTTGTGAACGATTGGCGTTAAAAAAATACGTAAAGCCCCAAATCGTAGCCGAGGGAACACACACACACAAAAAAAAAGTTTTCGTGTCACCCAGCAAGGTGAACGGCATGATAGTAACAGCAAATCACCGTTAACTGTGAAACACAAACACATACCGCTTTAATGTGAGGCCAAGTAAATATACATATGATCATAAATAAAAGCTAGGCCCGCTCCTGGGCTGGTCGGAAACTGTTTTGGGATTTTTTTTGCACACACTGCTGTAACTGACAGATGCATGACAGAGGCCAAGGCCAGGCCAGCTCCTGCGCTCTCGTTCATTGTGTTGCACTCCGGCTCCACCATGTCACCTTCTGGGGGGGATAAACACACCCTGCTGTCCTTACCGAGGATCCCTCTCCGGCTGGGCACTGCGATCCGCGACAGCCCTGGCTCTCCGGGGAGTTGAAACAGATGTGTCCAGCTGCCCGCGTTTTAAACGTCGCTTGGCTTCCAGTAAACACAGAAGTAGCCCCCCAATGTAAAAAGTCCAGTCAAATCCTCATTCTGTGTTTTTTTTCCTCCACATTCAGGTCACAAATAACCACATTCTTGTTTCGCGGCCTGTGATTGGATAACTCAGTACGACTCGCCCGGTTCAGCCGCCATTCAGGCGAAGCCTTCTTAGAGTGGAAAGGTCATTATAACATTTTTTTCCCCCAGTGTCTGAACGCTGGGATGCATAGGGTCTTTGTTTTATGATACAATTTAATCGTTAAAGTTGCGTTGGTGAAATACAATTACGTCATTTTAAAACGTGTACTAAACGGCCTATTATAACCCCGTTTAGTACAACAAAGCCCAGGTTAATGCAGTTTAAAAACTGGGAATAAATAAAGGAACGGCCTTTTCCGTGCCTCCCTCCGATTGGTTGTACAGAGCGGCAGCCAATTGCATCACGCTATATTTCAGAAGGCGGGCACTTCCGGTCTCTCCCCATCACGTCTTATCGCTGGCAGCGGTCAAGCCACCTATTGGTTGAGTGTGGAAGCCCGTAGCCGCTGATTGGCCGCCGGCAGCCCGTGCAACACGATGTCCAGCCCCTCCCACTCATCCATCGCCCCGGCGCTGCCGGGAGTGGAAATATTGGGAAAAGGGTTTCGGTTGGCTTGGAGGTAAGGTTGCTTATATTAAAAAAAAAAAAACGTTTTTGGCGTATACGGTGGTTATCGGGTAAAGGGCACGTTAATAACTTTCCTTATTGTTTTAAGCAAGCAAATACTGCTGCCCCATAGTTATTTTAACCAGTGAAGAAACGTTTTTTTTCTTTCCCTAAAAAATAAACGGTGCTCGTCTGAAAGAACTGGTGCCGCTGTTCGGTGAAGTTCAAAACCGGTTGCCCTGGACACTTAATACTCGCCCAGTGTCGTAGAGTTTGTTAACCGTTCAAAAGGTGTTGAGGTATTTTATCATCCTGGGGTGTCGTGCTTTGTAAGAGGTCGGGCTGAGCCGGAGTCGAGGATAACAACACGTTATGTCCCAGTCCGAGCGGCGCGTCCTTCACGCCAGCGGCCTGTCTGAGTGGGAGGTTACACAGTCGCAGTCACTCGGAAGGAATTCGCTTTACGCGGTTTTGTTTTTTTTTAGCCTGCCTTCCAGTGGTGCGTTTTTTAAATGCCCGTCAAATGATATTTGCTGGTCTAGGGCGTCTTGACCATGAACAGTAACTTCAATTTTTCCGATGCCCCTCACTTTGAGGTCCTGGCGGCACTGGGTTTATTCGTTTAATGGGGTCCTATAGCCTTTCACTTTCACGTTTTTCACTCCTTGTCTCTAGAATCAATAGTCATTTTTTAAAAAGAATCAGAAGGGGTCTCTATAAATCAGCGGCCATGTTTCAGATTCTAGCGAATCTGCTAGGAGCTTCTATTTTTACAGGGAATGTTTAACGCTGTGCTTTGGAGCGAAGTGATGTATAATCGCATAAGTGTACACGGTCCGTGTTTGCGCACGATCATGGTGATGTTGTGGTAATGTTGTGATTGGAATGTTTTGATCATTTGACAGTCAGTCTCGGTGGATAACCTCTCTGTCCGCTGTAGCTGTTTTATGCAATTTAAATAGTAGAACTATAGTTGTTGGGTTTGAACAGTGTCAAGTACCACGTCTTTCATGCCATGATGATTGTTTACATTTGTGCATTATTGTATATGGTGCCATGCGATATTTTCTTTTTTTTTCTGGAAAAAAAAACAAACAAATCGAACCATAACAATTGCAGATAGGATGTAGAAAAAACAGGTGCGTGTTTTGGCAGCGGGAGACAAAGGTAGCCTTAAAATTAAGCAACATCCTAAATAACCTGTTGGATGCGGGAGTTGCATCTCTTTACTCTCGATAGGTTGATTCTCTTTATGCAAACTGTTCCTCATTCCTATTGCCATGTTAACAGTCGTAAGGTCCTTGAACCAAATAAATCATCAGCAATTAGGAAATTAGTAATTATGAGAGCACGTGGTGGCAGTGTTTTTATTTCCGATTGATAAAATTTCAGAAGGAAGCTATATCCATGGTAGGTCTACATGGTGAAAGGGTAAAATAATGTGCTGTACAAATAAAACAAAGGTGTATTTTTCTTAAGAAAGTGTTGCCCCCTCAGGAGGGCTTGGGTCTGTATTGCAGGTTGAGGGACAGTAGATGCTGGGTTCTGGGTTGATGGCAAATACAGTACAGTACCTTAGACATGTCTTTGCTCTTAATCGTTTACCATTTACCTAATTTCCACAAAAGCTTGGGCAGAAGCTGGTCTTTAATTGCTGAAAATGGAAAGTGGTATGACTAATAGGGGCAAAATTATTTGTTGTTTCAAGCACTCTGAGCTGATGAATCATTAGCTCAGAGTTCTTTCATTAGCAATGATGAACAGTCCTCTTTAGATTTGTGCGAATTCCTATCAATTAATCCATTTTTAATATATCTAATCCTCTCACTGTTCCTGTGGCACTCCTTGTGTGCTGTACAGTCATGCAAGAGAATGAGGAGGTAAGAGACGCTGTTCAGATCTGCATGTTGCTGATCTCCACTAGCTGGAACACTGTGAGCTTGCTAACAGAGCTTACAGACATGCACGGTATGGTCGGCATGTACTGTTGAGTCCGTTTTTAACACAAAATAATTCAAATCATTTTTCCAAACTAAACGCTGGAGCTTGTGTATTTTTGTATTCTTAAAGTACCCAATATCTGCGAGTAATTGAGTTCCTGCATAGGTCTGTCAAAATGCTGTTGACGCATTCAAATGGTTGAGAATTTGAGGGCTGTAGTGCATGAACCTTATATGCTGTATGAAGTAACATAGTGGCCCTATGCGTTTTTATGTAAAATACTCTGTTGTCTATATTTATTAAGGTATTTTACATGCCTTTAGACATGGTTTCTGCAAAAACAATCTTTTGGGATTAATTTTTTGGGAGTTTAGTTTATAATTTAATGCTAATGTCGGTTACAGTGGAGCTAGGAATGAATAAAAGCCCCCACCAAATCCTTTTTATTGCCATTACCCATTGTTTCGTTTGGAATTTCAGCTTATAGACTTTGTATGGGTCTTCATACTCAGAACTAAATGTAACACAGTGTGCTCTCTAGCTCTTTTGTATAGTCAGTCATCCTGAGATTGTATTATTAAGGTTTTTAAATACTATTATGTATTATTAAGGTTTTTAAATACTATTATGTAAGAATTGTTTTTTATTTGCAGTATAATTTAGGGTTTTCTCTGTTTAACAATACTTGGCTGATTCTCATTGTCAAGCGGGGTTGTTGTGGTAAGGAGTCTGTAATTAAGTCAGGGAAGGAAAAAGATTTGTGAAAAACATGTTGTTTCATAAGGTTTAAGAATAGAGTATTGTTGTCGGTTACAAAGTACAGAAAGCAAACGGCAAAGGTCATTGTTCTTACTTACTGCCTGTAATATGAAAGAAGACTCCGAACAGTTGAGGACAAAGCATCTGTCCTTTGAAATTGGAATAGAATCATGTTGATTGTTGTGTTTATAAGAATTGTGAAAAGCTTGTCTGTTTTATTAGTGTTTACTTAGTATTATATTTTAAACATATACAGTATTTCTACATGCCTTAAGTAGTTGATTATATATTTAAAAATACTTGTCACATTATTAATATTAATTTTGCATGACTTTATCTTATCAGAGAAGTCTTCTACATGTCCTGTTGATGTTTTCTTAGAATATAATATTCTTGTTTGCTTTAATATAGATTGTCATAAATACATTTTTTCTATTAAGTATTTCATACAAGAGAGAGACAATCGAGCTGTCTAGCCTGTTTGCTTACTATCAGGTAATTGGTCCCAAGGTTTCATCCAGCTGTTCATCCATCTTATCATCCATCTGTTCAGAACTGTGCCGCCTGTTATCAGTTTTTAATACACTTCAGTGGATCTCAGTTGGCTTGTGGTTTTTGCTGCAGATTCTGAAGTCCACTTGACTTTTATAGTGCATTTCTGAACACTCCACTCCATCATGTGTTGGTACACTCACCACACACCAGCTATTAGTGGGGAGGAGAACAGAGTTAAGAAGCCATTCATGGATGCGGATTATTAGGACACCACGATTGGTAAAGGCCAGTGGGAAATTTGGGCAGAACACCAGGGTTGCACCCCTACACTTTTCCAGAAACGCCCTGGGATTTTTATGACCATGGTGAGTCAGGACCTCAGTTTTACGTCTCATCCAAAGGATGGCGCCTTTTTACAGTATAGTGTCCCCATCACTATACTGGGGCATTAGGACTCTCACAGACTGCAAGGTGAGCGCCCCCTACTGGCCCTTCTAACACCTCTTCCAGCAGCAACCTTAGCTTTCCCAGGAGGTCTCCCATCCAGGTACTGATGAGCTGTTGAGCTTCAGTAGGCTGTCAGCTGTGAGTTGCAGAGTGATTGGCTGCTGGATAAATAAAGTGCAACACTTGTTTACTTTGGAAATGTGTCATTTCTTTAAGACGCATAGTTACTGGTTTCCATTGTGCGAGTATGAGCTGTAATTCAAGCGTGCTTGTGATTTGCATGTAAATGTTTCTCTGTGTGCCGCATGCCTCAGTGCCTTCCAACCTGTTGGTGCTCACATTTCAGACGGCAGGAGAATGGAAGTCCAGTAGGGAACCTGTGGGAACCCAGAAGATGATGTTGAAGATGGCTTGCAGAAACTCCCCAGATGATTGCCCATCTGATTCGGGTCGTTAAAATGATCCTGGAATCTACGGGAGCAGTCATGGACTTAGTGAGTATCCGTTTTTCTTTTATTCGGTACAAAACTGTGCCTTGTGTTTGTTACTCCTCTCACTGGCAGTCCTTATTGCCATTGCCCATAGAACTTAATTTTGTCATCTCTTCAGATCCCGTGCATATATGACATGCTTTGTATTGATGTCTTGACTTACAGAGGTATGTCTACTATTTATTCATGTATAAAATAGTTAAAGAGCTCCTGGTATGGAAAGCCTGCCATGCCAAAATAATGATCTGTGAAAATCTTTATTTTGGTTAATAATAATCATTTTCTCTCCCTCCAATCGCTTTCTGATCATTTTACCGTGATGTGTGTGATGGAAAAAGTCTTGTCACATTTATTTAATAAACGTTTGGAAATCACAGCTCCCGCTCAAGGACCTTGTGGCTTGTACTGTAGTGCCAGTACACTGACGAGTTGTGGGTCAATGAAGTGGGATAAGGTCTTTTACCCGGAAGAACTGGAATGAGGGGAGTTAGGAATTCCTAATTCTTTCATCCTGATGATAATTCTCTCTCTTTCATAATGATGGCCTATGATAACGATTTATGACTGGTTTAAAAACATGTTCTGATAATGCAGTTTCTGTGCTCTTTACCATAATTTGGTGGATGTTAATCGTAAGCATGGCTCAATTTTGACTGTTTTTTGTCCTAAGACAATTTACAGGAGGTTTCTTTTATAAGTATTTTGAGGCACCGTAGGGTTAGAAATAGACTAATCATACTCCTCTTCTATAAAGGTCTAAGTCAGTATTCTTGAAATGTAGCTAAAAATGATCGTGGAATTATTTTCTTAAGTGGGTTACTTGTAGTTTATGCAGTGATTTACTTTACTATATTTGGTATTAGTTGGTGTTATGTAAATCAGTTCTTATACTGCAGCTTAGTTCTTATAATTCCTGCTGTTTAAGGGTAAAACAAAGGTCTTGAGGCTGGAGAAGGATGTGTCTCAGCCACAATGTTTTATGCTCCTAAACAGAAATGACCACTTTTGCACACACATTTCCTATTTGGGCTGAATGGACCAGATCATTCTGTCATTTTCCATAGTGAAAGTTAAGCTTTTTGTATTTTGAAGATTTCTCAAAAGCCAGCACACCGTTTTCACACTACTCAAATCACAGTGAGGCAGTCAAACACCAACAAGACAAGACTGAACCCCGAGAGTGAACCTACAAGCACCTCAGTTTGACCTAGGATAAATGGGATAGAACCACTCTAAGATTCATCACAAGCTGCTCATTTCACATTTTCCATTTGTGTGTCAATTTGCTGTATCAATTTAATCTGTTTTTAAAGAGAAAAAAGACTTTCTTTAACAGGGTGATCATTGTTCTGGCAGGTTTGTGTTTAAGGTACAGCAGAAATGTTTACCCAACACATATTATGACTGAAAAACAGTGCAGTAACAGGGAAAGGTACCAATTTTTTTTATTCACCATGTGATGTTGCATGGTCTTTTATCACTAGACACCAAAAAGGAAAATCAAATTAAATGTGACGGTAGTCCTTCAATATAAATTGTTTATCAAAAAGGGTGTATAGTGCTCAAATTAATTACCAAATGAGCTCGATGGGCAAAATACCATTTCTTGTTTACAAATAAGAAGTTAGGAAACTAAGTAAGTAAAAGTAAACTGTAAGTGGAGGGGTACAGGGAAACAGATTTGATTATTCACTTATTTACCTATGAGGTAATAAGAATGTACAGTCTTGGACTGTCTCTAGATTTATAGTAATAAGAAGCAACACTTTTACATTACAGATTAGTATCTGTGTTTGTGGGTTTGCTATAATAGTTGCACAGTAGCTAAGGTAGTAGCTTTGAATTCTTTTGCAAGGTTTCTGGGCCTCATGCAGCATGAAGCCTGCAGCCTGAAGTTCTAATGACATTATTTGGATAACAAGCCACTTAGAACCACCTACAATGTGCCCTGAATGTGTGCAGGTGGCCAGTGGTCAGTAACTCCCTTCACAAAGACTTAGTAGAGAATGAACTGTGGTGCCACAGGGGTTGTAGCCAGCATCTGGGGTGTGATCAGGTATCCTATTTGCCTTAACACACCCCTTTTTAGTTTCTTTTAGGTTCCTTTCCTTCTTTATACATGGTGTGTAGCCTGGAAGAGACGCGGTTAGGAAGGTAGTGTGTGTATTTGTGTATACACACTCTCCAAGAGTGGTGTTCACACCGGCTCCCTTATCGGCATAACAGGACACATGACTCCATGTTCCCTTACTCCTGGGCCCTTCGCCCAGGCTCACTAAGTTTCATCCCGTTGTCCTCACTGCTAGGAACCTCCTGCTCTCAGACACCAACACAGACCCTAGCAGGATGCTGTCCCTTTAAATCTTCGGTTGACGTCATAAAGCTCCGTTTCTTCCTTCTTTCAGTCTCCCCCGAGACTGACGTTCTCACTCCCTTCCTCGCAGGCTATTCCTCTCACAATCCCCTACAGGATCGTCGTTCTTCTCCACCCCCTGGCGGGGTTACTGCAGCGGCTAGCCAGCATCTGTTCACTCATACACGGCGACACGCTCTTCCGACATCGCCCCGACTAGTAGCGTCTCGCACCCGCTACTGTCGTGCTCTTGCAACAGAGCCTCCGCATTTGGGAGACCTAGTCTCCCACGTCCTCTCACCACTGCAGCTACAGCAAGACTAAGGTCCTGAGACGTATTCAGCATGGTTTTAGACCACTTCTACACCTGCTGCTCATTCCACTTATTCACTTATAGTTGTGGTTTCCCTTAATCCGGGGCTCCGCCCCCCACACCAAACACCCCAGTATTACTCCACAGCGTGTACAAATATTGCACAATATCGAAATAATAAACTATTTTATATAGCGCCTTTAAAGGTGACTTCTCAAAGCGCTTTACAGGATGACAATAACAATAAATAAGAAGACTACAACAATAAATAAGAAGATTTCACAAGATAGGACACAATTATTATTACAGCAATACAATAACAATAGAGGAGACCGTGGAAGGTGGTATTAAGAAGAGCAGAGGGGTGAAGAGTGGAACCAGCTAAGGCTTTTCTGAAGAAGAAGGTTTTGAGTCTGGATTTGAAGGAGTTTAGAGAAGGTGACTCTCTAATATCCTTGGGCAAAGAGTTCCAGAGCTTGGGGGCATAGCAGGAGAAGGCCCTGTCGCCCATACAATGTAGACGGGCTTGGGGGACAGTAAGGAGGGCAGAATTTGAAGAGCAGAGGTTGCGAGGTGGGGAGTGGGGCGATAAAAGTTCAGACGGGTACTGAGGTGCCAAGCCATGTAAAGCCTTATAGGTGAGCATGAGGATTTTAAAGTCTACGCGGAATTTGACCGGAAGCCAGTGCAAGGACTCCAGGATGGGAGTAATGTGAACACTTGCACTAGACCTGGTCAGGATTCTGGCTGCTGAATTTTGGACATACTGCAGCTTGTTCAGAGTAGATTTAGATACCCCAGGGAGTAGAGTAATGCAGTAGTCAATTCGAGAGAATACAAATATGTTGATCAGCTTTTCAGCCACAGGTAATGATAACATTAACTGCTATCTGCTTATTGCAATCTTTTCTTCTCCGCTTCACAGCTGAAAAAGTATATCCTTGTTTAAGCAACTTGTCCTGTTACATACTCCATGTATGTTTAAGATATAGTTGTTTTCTAACTTTGAAATTGCTTCTAGCTTCAGTCACTGTGGAAGCTTAAATGTTAGTGTCTTAAGCAGAGTGCAGTGAGGTTTAGTATAATCTAGTCTCAGTCAAAGTAGTTGAATCGTAATCAAAATCTTAATGAATTTGAAAAGGTTGGAAATGTATTTACTAAGGAAAGACCTTGGTAGTGTTTTTTGAGCAGGGAGCCTCATTTGTGAGTGATAATGGGTGTGAACACAGAGAGGGTTGCTGTTGAAAAGAAAGGGGAGGGAAAAAAAGACACTGGCTCATATCGTGCCTGGATCTTCTTGGAATAAGGAACCATAAGCAGCGTTAATATTCCAAATAAAAAGGCCCATATTTTCCTATGCTTGTGTTCATTGGGCTTGTTTTGCTGATGAACACATTCACCAGCTAACCGCCACCCTTTTCTTTTTCAGGCCCTTTGGAACGACAAGCCCTATGGGTCCTCTCGGAGTATTGTAAGGAGGATAGCTACCAGCCTCCCTCTGAGACCTTGCCCACGTGTGCGGTTTCAGGTAGGATACGAGTACAGGGCGTAGTTACTCTGCAGGGACATCACACAGCACATACTGGGCTTTCAGAAATGATTCTCCAGCCGACTTCCAAAGTCGGATGCTGGTCCAGATCCTATATCATATCAGTTCAAGCTTCTTGATAATACAAGTCTGCCCCCTTTTCACAGATAATAGAGTAAAAGTAAGAAAATTCCTTTGGAACTATACTTGCAAATTTTAGAAATTGAAATATCAGCATTGTTACCATATTGCCTTCCTGATGAATTCCCATCTGTTTGTTTGCTCTTGTTGTGATATACAAATTATTCCTTCTTTATAAAGAAGAAGTTTTGTTATAGCATTTTAAATTCATAAGAGGCCAGTTCAAATTCTAAAATAGACTTTTTTTTCTGAAAACCTACAAAAGAGCAGCTGAAGTGGGCAGAAGGAGAGTGTGTTGTATGGCAACTCTCCTAAGAAGTTGAGTAACAGCCCTGCATAACAAACAGATGGCGAATTAATAAGTTGCAGAGTGCATTATGTAAGTGTCATACATCGTGTTTTAGAGATTTTAATTTTTTAATCATTGTGCAATATGTATGTTGATGTAAATTCTGTGGGTTGTGGTGAATATTATTAATAATGTTTTCTCTTGTGAAATAAAATATTGAAGTTTAATTTTGGTAAACTTTTTTTTTTCAAATCACAGTGCTAACTCATCTCAGTTAACCATTAGTGACTCAATTAACCATAGATTCAGAGTGAATGAGGTAAACCGCTGGGAATATCATAGAATATGTTGGTCTCTATTGCCTGTGACATGTCTTCAGCAAAAGAGGGAAGGATAAAACAGTTGAAAAATACAATACAGAATGTATTTTTTCCACATTGGACATGCTGGTATTATAATTCTCATTTCAAGATGTAGGTAGTTCTGGTGTAATCGATAAATGTGTACTAAATCCCATCCCAATCAAAGTTGAGTGAGAGTTCGGGAGGATTGTGAAGTGAAACCCTTCCTGCTCACTAGTCACTGTAATGACTAATGTGATGGGCCGTGCAGCAGATATTTCACCGCAGAAATGCTACAATGCGATCTGCATGCAGTGTTAACAAGTAAAGTAGTATTTGTCAGCAAAACTTACTCAAAGTTGAGAGCAATATTTCTATTGGCTTAAAAGAGATGTATTCACAAGCCTGTTTATTTACGATGTGATCGGGTCGCTTTACCTTACTGAAGGTTCTGTTGCCTCATTCTGAATCGCAGAACATGGCGCTGCGCTTACCTGGAAAGTCTGCCTATTTTGTAATGTTACTTGGAGGTTTTACATGTTGTGCACATTTCACTTGCATTGTGGTTTGAAATGCACTCATCAATGCCAATTCTTTCCAACTCTCAAATATAAGAATAAGATTGCAGTTCCTCGTTAATTGTGGGTTTTTAAAAATACACTTTTAATTCATCTCGTATTTACTTTCCAGGATCTAAAACCTCTGCTACAGTTTGAAATGTTCTATACCGAGCAGCAGTAGAAACTTCTAAATGCAACAGTATTTTTTAGTATGTGCATTGTGCATTGATATAAGATAATTCATCTTACTGATTAACATTTTATCATCAACAGGAGGTCTGCTGTAAAAGTGATAGGCTAGTAGTGTATGGTAACCCTTTAAGCAATATAAGCATTACATCTACAGCACATGGTATGCAGGTTTTTTAAATGCTGCCTTGTGGGATTCTGTCCCATTCCTCTCCTAGATCACCTAGTTCACTGATCTCTGAGCTCTAGATTCAACAATTATTCAAGCTCATCTACTTAAATGGGGATCCTCAGTCCTGCTCAGGGAGGGCCTGTTTCTCTACAGGATTTCAGTCCCACTGCACTCATAATGTAAATTGGTTCTTTATTGGCTTAAATGGACCAGTTTCACAGTTTCTCCCAGTGCTTTAATTAGACACGAGAAGCCTGTAGACGTGCCAGCCCTCAAGAACCTGGGGAACCAGCCGTAAAGTTTTAGTAATGCTAGAGTCTGGCAACTAGGGCATCCAGAGCTTTGCTCACAATGTGAACTTGCAAGGAAGCTGTTGTTACATGCGAAATGTGGGTGTTTGTATTGTCCTGCTGGAGCAGTAAGGTCTCAGGACTTGCAGCCCTGTGCGGTCATGTTGCCATCAATCACTACAAGTGGAGCGCTGTAGTGACCAAACGCTCTAACCATTAAAACATTCAAATTGAGTTGTTCTCATATTTTGCCAGGTGTGCTTAAATCACAATTTTGGGGGGGAGGGATAAAATAATGACCTTTTTCAAGCTTCAAGACCATGTTCTGAAATGTTAAAGAATCTAAATGACTGTCACTGTTTAGTTCTTTCTTCTGTACTGTCTTTCTCTGATGGCTGGTTGTATCTTGCTCTTTCTTCCTTCTTTCCTCTCTAGCTGTGCTTTTGGTGAGAAATGCTGTGAACCTCCTCTAGGTCAGTTCTCTTTTCTGATGTCTTGGGTAGATGATAGCATGTGTTGATGTTTGTTTGGCACTGCCATTCACTTCTGCTCCATACCAAAAACGTCCCTTCTGATAACACAGATAAATCCTAGTATCAGATTTGTTTATCATGGCACAGAATTATACAGCTCTTATTTGTTATTCTAATTGAAGCTTCTTGCATGCCACATTGTGCTTTCCGAAGTATATTCGGCTGGTCTCGTACGTGGTCCGTGTAGTTGTTTTTGCATGTTCTGTTTGATCTTAATTCTCCAGCTTCTTAAGAACAAGTTAAGACTTCAACTTGTTCAGCCAAGCAAATTGTTTGGGTGTAAAGAAGGAGTTCATTATTTAAGGAGGTGATTAAGAGCTCAAGTGGAAAGAAAAAAAACAAAACAAAACCTTGGAGTTCTCCAAGACCGGAGCTGTGCACTGCTGGCGTAATGTGAATCTGAAGTTGATTACGGTGGCATCTTTTCAAAATATGTGCATTGTTCTTTTTAACAGTTGTGAAGGCTATTACTTTCAAGTTCATATTCTATACACGATTTTTAGACTCCAGACATTTGCAGTGACCTCTAATTTATATACGTGTTCTGCATGTGTTTGGTTTTGAAATGCAGCCTTTGTGTGATCAATGATGATCGTTTTGAATAATCTGTTCTGCACTTCTTTTAAGTGCCAGTAGAGCTTATTATAAACAATGCTAAGCAAACCAGAATATACTGACAGTTCAGCCAAAACCAACTGAAATCTTCGAGTACCCTTAAAATAAGAGTTACATGGCATATTATTAATTAAATCTATAGTATTCTTATTCCAGATTCACAATACTAAAAGAGACTGAATTTTGTGTTTTATTTTCAGCTTCATCCTTATGTTGATGCCCCCAGCAGTCTGCAGTGCACAACTCAAGAAAATGGACTTGTAGCTTCACTTGCAGACGTTGCTTGGATTGACGCAGATGAAGAAGAGTCATTTAACATACACAGGTAGTAGATCATTCATGGCATGTTTAAGCCTGCATGGGATGTACACGTTGAAACAAGTTTATTTTTGTCATTTTGGCATACTTTGAACTCACCAGGTTTAATTTGATGATTTATTCACCAAAACTTGTTCCAAAACCAGAAACATGAATCTGAAGGTGAATAATCATGTCAAGCCTTCAGTGGGTAGCAGGCAGGGATTTTTTTCCTTATCTATTCACTCCTTCCACCTGCTTTTTACATTGTATCACTGTTACACTATATTACATCTGTATTTTGTATGTGTTTTGCATTGTTTACAACATTTGTTAATTGGGTCTGGTGTAAAATAGATTTGAAATTATAAAAACTAAGAAGCTGATCATTTCCTCACAGTTTAATTCAACTCAAAACCTAAGATAATTTTTCCAAGATATTCATTCTAATTTACATTGTTGTTTTTAGAAACTGGGAGTCTAATTATGAAGATGTGTAACTGGTTTTGCCTCTTTCCACAAGAAGCTCTGTGTTGGAAAAGTGAAGATTATGAAATGAATATATATTTCAAACATGGTTTAAATGGGGAAAAAAAGAATGGGTTTATTAACTCAAAGCATGTAGTTGCTTGGAAGTTATAGTATCATAATATAGTAATACGTTATGCATATGTTCTTACAATGTTTTAATAGGTTAGAAGCTCGACCAGACTTTCTTTTTACTGCTCACCAACGGCAATATTTTGGTAAACCTCTTCAAAAGCAGCTGTCCTTACCAACCCTAAACAGCGAAGACCTAGAGCCAAAGAGTCCTGCATATGCCAACGATGAGGCCATACAGAAAATCACTGCACTTGAGAATGAACTGGCTAAACTCCGAGCACAGATTGCACAGATCGTGCTCATCCAGGAGCAAAAGACCCAGGCTGATGGTAGGAATTGTCTTTTATTTTTTTAAGTGTTTTGATCTTTGAACCTGTTCTTCTCCGACCATTATTTAATCTCTTCAGGATTTTCTGTTTGCAGGTAAAGAACATGGAATTGGCCGTCTTGTGAACAATTTTCCATTTCTTTGAGGTGCTTTTCCCTCACCCTGTTTGTACCAGTTGTCACCAGAAGATGTCACTAGAGAGCCATATAAATTGTATTTGTACCTTTAGAAGGAATATTTTTTAGCTATGGAGAGATTCCTAAATTAATGGGATAGGTACCGTAATACAGAGCTCCTTAAATCTGAGATACCCACAACTAATAGTGCTCTAGTTGGACAAATCTTGCTACAATTATTCATTCTTTTTTGTAATCCTTTAACTAGTTAAGTAAATTGCACATTTCTCCTTTGACAACCTGTACAGTACAGATTTGCGCAGCAGGGCACTTGGAAACAATGAGTATTCCATTCACGATTTGAACCCAAGACCCTCTCACTGTTATACGATTAAGTCTGGTATATTAGAACTGACCTCTTTTTTTGTATTAACATCATGTACCAGTTGTTGTTTGAGCTTGTTGGTTTTGAGCAAACGCATAGGAATAAAACCCTCCCTTCCCCTCTCTCCAGCACATTCCCTTCATTGGTATCACCTCCTACTCCTGGATCTAATAAAGGATTAAGGGATTTAAATTTAGGCCATAGCAAGAGAAGTACTGTGTTATAATGCTTTGTGACAGCAACAGCACTTCATACTTCAGCATGAGCTTGAAGGAAACTGGACGAGCTGGTCCACTATGTTCAGCTTAATGTAAAAACATCTGTCAAAAATGTCATTAAACTTATTTACTTATTTATGCATTTTCTGGTGCATGAAATACCAGTGACCATCATGAGTAAATCTCCATACCAAGGTATCTGAAGTGTTTGACTGGTAAGCTATTTTATTCCATTGCAAATGGAAATGAGTCTATGTATCTAAAGTCTGTATCATCTGTAGAACATGAACAGCCTGAGCGTGAGGTTCCAAAGACAAGACAAACAGGTGTGAAAGGAGCAAGAAGGAGAAGACCACTTATTGCCTCTTAGCAGCATTCCTGTAGAGATACAATTTTAATAATGTTAATGAAATACTAATGAATCCCAACAAGTTAAAATTATTGTATCTTAGACCCCAAACAAATTGGTGAGATTTGCAGCCACAAAGTGTGGAATCTTTTTTGTTTCAGTGATCGGAATATGATGGAAGTCATAATCTGTTATTCTTTGGTTCAGACAGGGATATAGATGCTTCCAGTACAGCTACCTCTGCAGGAGGGACTAGGCAAATAGCATTGGAGAAACATCAAACACTTTCCCTGTTTATATTAACACAATTTAGTCTGAATTGCGTACTTAAGAGTTAAAAGGACTAAAAGATTATCGACTACTTTACAATAGGGGAATAGAGTGGTTAGCGTTAATGTTTAAAGTGTTATTGTATAGCTCTCATATCTACACTGTTCTGTTTTTTTGTTGGTCAAGAAGTATTAGTACTATGTGGTACTAATGTGGAAACATGTAAAGGCAGAAATAAGATGCTCTCAGCCACTGTGAATAAAACATTGAGGCCTCAGTGCAACTCTGTTACACTGCAGCTAATTTGACATAATTACACTGAATTACTGGGAACCAGTATGATATTGAGTGTAAACCATACATCATAAAATTGAAGTTTAGTGAATGAAAAGTAACTAGCCTGTTTATAATACTGTAAAGGGGCACCCAGGTTTAGAGGGTGGAAAAGGGGCAGACCCACAAGGGGGCAGCATTGAGACTTGCACTAGTGCACAGCCCTTTCTGTCAAAGACACACGGAAGGGCAGGAGAGTGACTGAATAAACCCTTACAATTTGTTTGGAGAGTGAGACAAGTAAATCTCGGGGTGTGATTTCACACCGGTCTTTGAAGAAAGAAAACCAGTTCAAGTTAAAAATAACAATTTGCATTCCTCATAACAGCCTCAGTCATAGCCGTGCCAGCTGCTGTTGAATGAAGATGGTATTTGGTGGTTAAGCTAAAAGGTTTGGCCAGATCAGGGTTTTCTTCTGTTACTTGCTGGATAAAGCAGGGTCCTAGGCGAGTTTTCTTAGGGACCTGCATTAGGGTGGTAGGATTACAGTACATCGCCGTGTTCTGGATACTGACTAAGACACCTCTAGAGGGACAGATTTCCCTTCCTGAACAAGGGGAGATCTGTTGCAAATACCCAGATCAGAATGTTCTAAGATGGTAGTGAAAGAGAGTGAAATAATTATCTGATAGTAGGGCGCTATCTAAGCAAATTATGTTGCTTCATTGACTAGAGGAGAAAACTGCCCTGTGTTCTGTTGTTTTTCTCATGTTCTCTTGGTCTTTTTTCAGGTTCTGCATCTTTACCAGCTGGAGCGCCCCTACCCCCTCCGCCCCCTCCTCCACCTCCTCCCCCCCCTCCCCAGCCCCCCCCAGGCCTTCAGCGCTGCAATTCTGCTATAGACCTCATCAGGGAGCGGCGAGGGAACAAGACCGCCGGCCCGGGCCTGCTGGACTCGGGCCCCAAGCAGCCGGCGATGCCCAGCATGCTAGAAGTGCTCAAAGACATGAGCAAGGTGAAGCTGCGCTCTGTGAAGTGAGTAGAGATGGGGCTGGGGCTCTGAAGTTCAAGGGTCTTACTTACACTGCCGAACCACAATCAGTCTCTCGATCTTACAACTCCAGTTCCTGATCTGTCTTCAACCCTTTTGCTGGGTCTTTGTTTTCCTCTTGTGGAGCTCAGCGTTTAGGGGAAAACAGATGAAAACATCTTTAAGAGCGTTTATAGAACATATGTCAAGGCCGTTTCTCTCGCCTAGCTTGTTTGATTGCTGGTGACTAATGACTCCCAGGATCGCCATCAATCTTTTTCGAGAAAAAGGCAGGGAGTCAGCTTTGACAACATGGCTGGAATGATTATTTTTTGGTATACAGATGTGCCTCTTGTTCTCAGTTTTACCAGTATTGCTCAATTAGTTGGCTGGCACTTTTATCCAAAGTGACTTACATTTGTTCGGCATGGAGTTTTACTGGAACAGTTCAGGAGAAGTACTTTGCCCAGGGGCAGCGTACAACCACAGTGTCTCAGCTGGAATTTTATATGCTTTCAGTTATGAGGCCAGATCCATAACCGCTGCTCCACACTGTTGCCCTAAAAGTTCCTTGTTATGTAAGGAAATGTATAACGATTAATGGTACTTTCATTCCTTGCGCTCAGGAAATACTGACAGCAACAATGCATGTGTGTTCTTGGCTTCTCTGGCACAGATTGGTAGTGGAGAAATAACCAGAAGGTACAGTTAGGACAGGTTAATATTATTTAGACTGTGTTACATGAATATACAACACACAGCAATGTACACGTGTGAAAATACTGTTTCCTCCTTTTTCATAGCCCATTCTGCTTGTACACCTCAATGTCCTGTTTAACGGCTGTAAATTCTTTATCAATCTGTAAAAGCATTGTGAATCCAGCTTGGAAGTCTTGCAGCTCGAATCTTCGGTGTAGTCACGTTTTGTGCACACGGCTGCTGAGGACCTTTGCATCTGTGCCTTGATTCCCACAGACCGGAGCAGTGCCAAGCCAGAGCGAAGCCGGGTGACCCTGCAGACGCAGCGGCTCTGATAGCGGCAGCTTTGAAGCGGAAATTCGCTCATCGGTACAAGAGGGACAGCCAGTGCGAAACCGATATTAACCTTCCGGCTTCTGAAACGCAGACCTGTGCCGAGACCGCAGCGGTAAGCTGGTTCAGCATCAAATGGGCCGCAGTGTGAAACTGTAAAGAACTGCCAGCACTTCGTTGGTAATAACAAAAGCAGAGCAGAATAAAGGAGAGACTGAAACACCAAGGTACATTACGTACAACAGTAAGAGGTGTAGATGCCATTAAAGGGATGCTTGTCCAACCTCTGGATTACCTAAAGAAAACCAGAATGCTGACATTCAGACTGGAATGAAGTAAAGTATCCAAGCTTTGGCAGGTTGCAGGCACACAAAAGAAAAAAATAACAGTAACTCGCTAGTCAAATGAAAATCTTATTGAAATAATGGCTTAAGGGAACACATACCTGGTGTTTGTGTATGTAATGGGTATGCAATTTCTTTTTGTTACACGAGAATCAGATATTTGTGTGTAAACAGAAATCTGACGTCTTTATTTTTGCTTGCTTTTTTCAGTTTGGACAACACATGCTGAAGCCCACTGGAAAACGGAGGGATTTAGTCAGCAGCGTGTCTAAAACATAACGTCAATATGTAAATATCTTGTATTTAAGATAGTGTAAAACACTATAAGTCAGGATATTCCTGGCAAAGCAAATTCTCTCTACAGTCAAGATTCGACCAACCTTACTTATCGAGATGTTGGTTACTAGAATGTACCTCTGTTTGGAATCAAGTGTCTAAAATGGTACAGATTAGTAACGGCCTTCCTTTTTTATAATAGTTTAGTGCATCACTAAACCTGCCAGTTGTCATGCTCTCCGCATGGCGGCTCCCAGAACACAGTTTTATTGGCACAGTACAGATTGATATTTTCCCAAGTATGTTGATAAGGTTGGGACCCTTTCTCGACTTGATGTATAGAATGTGCTAATCTTTTAGGTTAATTTTAGGTTAATTGTAACTTAATTAAATTCTACTTAAGGGCTTATTACCAATTCTTACTGGACCCGTTAATTTAAAAATGCTTGGCATCACTCTGGGAGACATGAAGAGGGGGTATTCTTTATGAAGCTGCCACGAGTGCCTTCTTCTGCCTGGTCCTCATTACAGCAGAATGGAGACCAGTCAGGATCTGAGCTCGGTGACAGTATATTTCACATTTTTTCCAGTTTTGAAATAATTTAACGGTACCCTAACAGTTTTTTAAAAAGTAAGTCAAAATATAAGCTGCCGTTGATTTTGATGAGAACACTCTATCTTCACAGCCACGGCAACAATGTCTTAGAAACTCGAGTCTCTTGAATTTTAAGTGTTTTTGCCTTTTAAGTATGATACAAGTGCCAGAATATTTTCACTTATGTCACTCTTGGCGTTCGAGAGGGCATGTGAGGTATGTTACTCTCCCAGACACGGACTTGTTATGTCCCTGTACCTAGACTTGTGAGCAGGTTTTTCAGAGAGCTTGAAGGACTGTGGAAGTGAAAAGCAGAAAGCAGAAGAGAGGTTTATCAAAGGAAGGCTGTAATGAGAAGGCACATAAAGAAATTGAAATGTGTCATTAAAAAATGGAATGCCATTTCGTTTCTGTACATGTTGGAACATTGTGTTCTTCTAAGATGTATTCAGTTACCAAAAAAAGTGACAAAATACTCTCAGAAGCAAATGGGCAAAAGCATTTTATTGTATTCTGGAAGTGGAAAATTTAACACTTGTTTTTATTTATTTATAAAAATCTAAACTTAAGTTCTAGATTGTTTTTTGTTTTGTTCTGTAGATTACTGCATGACATAAATGCATATACTGTAAGGACTCGAGTATGACCTGCTTCACATAGTCTGGTTTTAATACTCCCATCTTCACAAGAAAAGATGCAGCACTTAAAAATGAGACCAGATGGAAAAATGTTTGGTGTTTTCTGATTAATTGTTTTCATGCAGATTTTATTTCAAAGTACAAGCTTTTATTTCAAGTATTTTGTTTCAAAGTACAAGCATGTGGCATTTCATTATACTTAATTTGGTGGACGTTTTGATATTGATATCATTTTGATAGAGCAGACATATTCTTGCCGAACTAATTGCTTTGTAAGATGGTGTGTCTGAGACCACTGATCTTCTATATACTTTATTGATTTCACACAATGCAGAATAAATCCGGAGAGCAAAATATGTTTAATTCTATTGCATTTGTCATAGGACAAATTTCAGTAAGAAAAAAGTACATGGTTTTGATGCCATACATGGAGTAAACAGTTGTGCTGAAAGAAAAGCTCTGTGATTATTTGAGAAGGACAAGTTGTAATTATTTCTACATATCATTTTATTGCTCTACGATGCCAAAGGTATTTCTGTCAGACCATTTTGAAATTAAAATATTTGCCGTAGAAGTTTGAAAACTGAAAATTTAATCATCTTAAGATCTTAATCATCTTAATTAGGTTTAATTAAGCAAATGTACACATTTATGCAGTGGTATTCAATAGCAGACTAATTCTGTTATACGGTGTCTGTATAAAAATGTTCTGTATAGTTTATCCAGTTTCTGCTGTGTTAATGACAAAATTTCAGAGTGCTCTTGGAATCATGCTGGTACATAATGCAAGCCACTTGTCATGTCAATATTGGTTTTCAAACAGTACCTTGCTCGATGTATTAGGAAACATCACTGTACAAGCTGTTTTCAGTAATTTTATCATGCAAACAAGTAAAAGTGGTTAAGAAAATCCCATCTGATGTCGCCTGTGTTATGTTCTGTACCAACTTCCGATTTCTCCGCTAATTCATTCGGTGGATTGCATTTATCTCGAGGTCTGCAATTAGCCGTTTCCTTTCATGGAACTACAGGTAGGATACATCTGAGGTGTACTTGGAATGAAGCAAAAACAATGTGCGTTTCTACAAGACAGTATTGCATTTAAACGAGAAAATGATTGCCTTTATACGAAATAATAGTGTTTAAACAAGAAACATTTTGCGTTAATATGAAATGCTAGACACTAGAGCGGTAAACGAGACACGTACGCAGGTTCAGGGTGGTTACACATCAAAGGACAATAACGGAGGTAAACGATGAATTATTATATACACCTGCACGGTTAACACTATTTACAGCAGCAGGGTGACTTAGTGGTCAGTCTGAGAATCCACAGACCACCCCCGGCTACAACTCCTAGTCTGCTCTGCGGTGCGTCCGGCGAGGGCGCTACATTCATTTCTACTGCGTGGGCCATTTATATTTGTAGCCCTTTTTTTCTGCAAATAAATCGTGATTACCCTAGCAATGGAGCATTTATTTATAGGTGGCACTGGAAAAGTGAGAGCTAAAGATCACGTGGAGAAACCCACTGCAGAAAACTCCTAAAGGGAAAAAAAACTAAGAAAATTAGAAAATATGACGAAAAGTACCTAAAGTACAGATTAGCACACAGACACAAGTGTTAGAGGTTGCACGACTAAAAGCCTCAAGCCCTAGAAACTGCTACGCCACCAGCAGACCAGACACTCGACCTTGCAGTATAAACCTGTTGAGTTTTTTTAAAAAAACAAAAGCTACAGGAACTAAGAGGCCAACAATCTGCCCTCCAAAGAGCCACGACTGTGAACCAGGAGACACTGCAGGCGTCTTTCGTCAAAGCTAACAGGATTGACACACCTGGGAAGCCACACACGTTAGGTGAGAGATTTCTCTTACCGTGCGCTAAGGAATCGATTTCAATCATGTGTGGGGGAACAGCGCTGCAGAGCAGCTAGCATTGAGACCAGTGTCAAGTGATACCGTGCGTTACCGCATTGGGCGTATGGCAAGAGACGTGGAGGAGCAGGTGTTCGCCAAGATCAAATCTAGTGTGTATCTTTACAACTTGACAAAACCACTGATGTCTCCGGAGATGGAAGAACGCTCGCTTACGCCAGATTTGTTGAAGAGGGAGAAATTAATGAAGATAGTTTCTTTCGTCCTCTTCCCGAGCAAAAAGTACCTGATACGGTTTCATTTCACACCTCTCGACACCTATTCTGACCTCCCACCTCTTGATTGGCCTCTTTCTGTCTCTCGCTCCTCCTCTCTCCCAGCCTTTGTTCTCCCGCTACATTACCTTTGCTTACTGCCTTTCTCACACCTGAAGGCTCCACAGCCGAAACAATGCGTTTTCTTTCTTATTTATTTCAGCATGGAATAAACCTATTACTTGTTCTCTTCCCACTGGCAATCAACGTTCCGTTGTGCTGGACACGTGTACGCGCGCCTGAAACTGACCGGAACACGCGTGTGGGAATCTGCTCAGACAGTGCCCGAGTATGACTGGCTCTCACCCCGGGCTCGTCGCGACAGTACAGGCCGTTGCTCTGTCCGCTTTGTGGATGCGTTGTATGACTCATAGACAAGCCCTTGCGGCTAAGAAAATGCCCCCCGTACTCAAACAAGTAATGGATGAAGCGGTTTGTACTGTAAAAACCATCGAGGCCAGTGCAACAAGCGCACGCCTTTTCAAGATTATTCCAAAAATTAAGCATAGGATGACTGGAGAGGCAGCCTTTTACTACATCGCACCCAAACCGCAGGATATTATTCCTAAAAATAGCAGGGGGGCCGGCTCTGTGGATATTTTTAAACCTTTAAAACTTTATTCTTCTTGACTTTTCTTATATAATTTCTGTGCTATTTGTGTTGTTTGTGTATGGTTCTTTTAATTTGTTGTTACTCATTTTAATATGCTTAAAGTTTTTTTAACAATTTTTTGTAACAAGCACTTTGAGTTGCGAAAAATGGTATGATATATACACACCAATTATTCGGTCAGTCATTGATTGAAGTCTCTGTGCTTTATAAATCAAAATTATCAAGTGAGTAGATTTCCAATTTATACAACGTGACGATTTTTTCATCAGTGGGGGTGTATAAGGGGGGGAGGGTCATGAAATATTTTTTACCCCCAATAAGGGTCGCACTCTCAAAAAGGTTAAGAACCTCTGGTCTAACCTATCGCACTGAAAAAAGTAAAAAAAACTTACCATTTCCTACATTCAGTTCCTCACGACTATACGAAGAGCCCACTAACCCTTTAGTTTTCCCAGAAGAAAAGTTAAAAGGTTAGTACTACTTAAAAAAAAAGCATTGCAAATTTGTCAGCTTGTTTTATTCATCAAAATGTAACTGCAACAGGCATGTATCAAAAGGTCAATATGGCAAAGCCTATACAAAATGGCTTGATGCTGAAGTATTCTCCCCAAAATGGCTGTTACAACAAATTGTAAACAGGTTCATCAAACAGTCTTTTACAGTAATAACAAAAAACATTACCTAAAATAAGAAAAGCACCTGTTATCATTTAAAACAACAAACAAAACCAACACAATTGTGCTATCTGTACAGAACTAAATTTAAAATACAAAACATGGAATGTTTGATGCTTAAAATAAATCATTCTTCAATTTTATTACAAAAATGTTCAAATTTTGTCACACTAAAGGCCAACAGGTGGACAATGCATTAAGAGAACAATAAACAGCACTTCATGAAAATAAAAACTGGTTTGGTCACTTAGCTTTTGTGCATAGTTTTAAGGCATCTGTTGCAGTCTTCCAGGTTGCATTTCAATGCATTTTCTCGTTGAAATTGTCACATTCTTCAGCTTCAGTAAATGTGTTTCTTTGCCTTGAAAAGGGACGAGCCTTCCTGCTTTTAAAGGCGTCATGCTCCCCCCTTAATTTCTTCCAGATAAATTGGCAACACCCTGAGCTAAATGTGTTAATTCAGTTCTGATGTTTTTAATGAAAGAACAGTTGTTCAAGTGTTAAGGACAGTGACAGCTACATGCTTTGCCACCACTGAAAGAGCAACGATATTCCGAAAGAAAGCCAGCGTTCTGCTCCCCGTTTCGAAATCCAGGGAAAAGGCCATATTCCCAGTACCTTGTAGACTGAAACCTGGGCTGTGCGTCCAAAGAGTTTCACAGTGCAAGAACAAAAAAAACAATGGAGCATTGCAGGGTTTATGGCATCTGGTGTTTGTTACAGCTGCAGTCTGAAGTTTGTACTGTACTGTATGTCATCAGTAGGATAAAATCCCCCATGAAAGTGGTTCTTGACACCTGTGCTTAAAGGCAATTACAGAACCAACATTTAACTTATAAAACAATACAAAAAGACATTTGTAAACAGTCTTCATAGAGGCAGCAAAAGGAGCGGGCTTTTCACATTTTAACACAAGGAAAACGAAACCTTTAAAATTGAACATACTTAGGTTGTCTGTGCAGTCTTTGACAGCCAGTAATCTAAATACTCAAGGTTATTAGAACAGTTTAAAGAATTTTTTAAAAAGTTTACAAATGGCACTTTACCACAACATGTTTCTTATACTGTTCCCTTTAGCTCTCGGTTAAAAGGGTTATGTATTCAGTGAATAATGCAGAAAAGAATGGAGAATAAATAAAACAGCAGAAGCAAAATGAGGTATCTATGTATTGCTCTATGTCAAGGGATAAAATAAAATCAGTGGTTTTAATAGCTGAGAGGCATGCAAACTGAACTCTGGCAAAGGTGTTCCATTAAGTGATGGCACTTAAGTCCCAATCCATTCCTATACCCCTCTGACACTTCTGCCCTGTCTGGCCAGGTCTCGGCGGAGAGTCATAACTCCTTGCTTCCCTGAGGTAATACTTCAGAGTCCGTTTCCTCCAAGGCTGGGTCAGTGTCATCCCCGCTGCTGGTCTGCTCCTGCAGCTTCCCCCTCCAGCTGGCTTTATTCAGTCCCAGGTACCCCAGCATGGTTTGAGACAGACGCGTATCTGAGAAGCGACCCCACTCCACAAACAGAGGCTCCGCCACATAGGTCATAAAGCCTGGAACCACAGGAGGTGCAGATCATGCTTAGCTATGGATTATAATTATGCCTCAGGAGAAATTAGATTACAAGTACATTTTCAAAAAGTCAAAGTCATCTTTTGATTTGTACAAATGCCAGTCTGAAGTAATTTTGAAAAGTGGCCTTGGTAGTTATCCCAAGTGCCTTCACATCATCATTACTACATGTGTTAAGGTGCACTTTTGTTTGATTAATGTACATTAGGCCAGAGGTCTCCATCCCAGGTTTTTCAGGTGGCCTTTTAATGATCAATTAATTCATCAAGGCCTGGAACAAATCAGCTCTGATCAGTTAAACAGGTCATGTGGTCAATTAAGTAATTTAAGAGATCATTGGGAACAAAAATCAATTTCTCGTGGCCTTCAGTGATCACTGTTCCCTTCATTAAGTAACTGATCAATTAATCAAGTAATGTCTCTGTATACCTTATCTTTAAATCACAGGTGACATACGGTGACCTGTAAGAATATCTGGATAGGGGCTCTCCAGGACGGGATTTGGAGATCCCTGCACTGGAACACAGCCATCATACTGTGTATAACAAGTTAAAAGACCACACTATTAAGCTTCGACCAAAAATGTGCAATTTATCTTACCTATTTGAATATTTTCAACAGTGTCTGTTTGACTATCACAAAGTGGGCTGACATCAAGTTTGTATTTCTTTTCAATGTCGCCTGAAAAAAAAAACACCTTGAGACAGGCTTATAAAAACAGGCTTATATAAAACATAAGCCAATCAATTTAATTATCTTTTTGTTATTAAAAAAACAAATTAACATATTAAATATCACAACATAAAGATGATCAAATTCAGTGATGGACTCCAGGCCACCATGTCCTTTGCTAACTGATTTTTACCATTTACTCAAACTACTGTACCAATTCAATAATCATCCTATCTTAGGTCACCAAAACACAGCACAGGGCAGTACACCAGTACAAAGGTGTAGCCAGAAGAAACATCCTATTTTCTATGCAGACGGAAAACTTGAGATAAGAACAAAGAGCAGATCTAGAACAACTCTCACCTTGGTGGAAGAATTCCTCTGTCACTTTTTCACTCCATTGCTTACTCAGTCTCCAAGGTCTGCATGGGTTACAGATATCTGCGCACTTCAGAGCCATCTAAAGGTGCAACCGGAAACCCAAAGAATAAAGCTGATACTTCTGCAGTACTTTTAACAGAGTACCAGACAAGCAGGCACTACTGCAGAAAACATCGGCAGGCTGTTGGTGTGACTGCAACAGGAATAGTTTGCTAATATGCTAAGCTCTTGCTTCAAAGATATATAATTATCTTTATATTTAAAAAAAACAAAGGTTATACCTGGAGGATAAAATGCCTGTGACCTGCATTTCCTAAGCATAGGTCTCCCTTGTCCAGATGTGTTCTGAATTGTGCCAGGTAGTCGTTCTGTCTGCTGATATCAGTGGCCAAAATCAGGGAGCCCAGTTGACTCTCCATCTTCAGCCTGAGGGGGTGTTATTATATAGGGTCAGCATACTGCATCAAAATACAATTAATCAAAATAAATTGACTAAAACTAGTGCTATTGTGATATTACAATTCCTTTTTTTCCTTTCAAGAAATGATGAAATATGTAATGGTCTGAACAAAGTTCATTCAGTTTTGAGGGAGTAATTTTACCCAGTTTTAATATTTCATGTCTTCATTCATGTTGTCATCGCTTCAGTAGTTACAGCTGGTCTTTTAACCAGATTTCAGATATACACTATAAAACAGTACTGTTAATTTACATTCAAAATTTGGTGGGAGTACAGTAACAGTAAATTACAAAGAGGCCATTTACCTGACAAACTGGATCATATCTGATTTGTTTTTAGTACCAAAAGGCATAAATAAACATCTTTTTACCATGTTTATGTCTTTATTCCCTGATTTATTACTTTACCATTTGTGGCATATGATCAATTACCAACAAGTAAATACAAGCATATTTGTTAAAGTAAATCTAGGAAACCATACACCTGTTCTCAAACCTGCATAAATAGTTTTATTACATCAATGAAGTTCACACTGTAAACAACGTAATCATTCAGAAGCATAAAATAAAGAATCTATCAAGAGTTGTCAAAATGATGATCCCAAGTTACAAACTTCTTGGTAAAATCAAAACCATCTAGAGTCGCATTTCCTAGTTAACCTTAATAATTTGTAATGCATGGCCTTAAAAATAATGCATGGCCTAATAAAATAATATTTTAACATTTAGTGTACAGTATGTGTGCTTCTTAAAACAAGTTTATTTTAATTGTAGCCACAGATTTTAGTTGAACCCTGTCAGATTGTGCACTATAATACAGCACAGAATGTGTGCAAATATAAAATAAAAAATCAAACCCATTCTATAAAAGCTAAAAGACATCTGCTTAAACTGTCAAATACTCATGGGGGAAAAAAGAGGTACCTAGTGAAGTAGTATGGATGTTATTATACGTAATAAGACAATTACCTTTAGATGATTTGGACATTTATGTAGAATGATAAAAGAGTGGCTCTGTTTGTCTACAGGGTAAAAACTGCTGTACATCAAATCAAAGTTTCTGACTCCAGAAACTGTTCTCACCTGTCTTCAACAGGAAGATGTGCAAACAACCCCGACTCTCTCAGCAGGCCCACTGCTGACCTCCAGTGGTGATTCTCTAGAACTGAGGTATTCTGCAAATTAACACAAAGGCATCTTTTCTACTGCTGCCAATGCCAGCACATAAAGCCAAGCAAGCAGCAATACATTTTATGATTTCAGTACTGTAGTTAAGTACTAAAGTATTAAACCCACAAATGTATCCTTTAAAACTATTTAAAATATCCTGGATAATACTTTAGTTCTATTGTCTACGGCTAGTTGCAGAATTCTGCTGTTGTGCCAGTTGAGTACGTTCTTTGTACATACAGAAAACACAGGATGCTGCATGTCTTTGGAAACTTGCATTATTCAGACACCACAAAATGAACCTATACTTTCCAGTCAAGGAAAATAAAGATGCAACTATGACTCACAGCTTTGATTAACACAGTATATAAATCTTTATAATGGAAATAACAGGTTCTGGATGCAAGGTGATGTTAGTGGATTTGCTTAATTATCTAGTGCCCTTTGAAGGCTGCTACTGTCACATTTTAATTTCACTGTGTAAAGACTTCTTTACATAGATAATATTGAAATGTAATTTCCCCAAGGCAGTAAAGAGCAAATAAAATTTCTATCCATGCCAGTGTATTCTGAAGACAATTTGCATAACGGCTTAAAATTTTCATCAATGTTAAAAGTTCTCGGGAAGAAAAGTACAATATGACATGCAGAAAGTTAAGGAAAAAACAGAATGTATTAGGGTAATGAAATCTAGTTAAATATGAAAAAATACATATATTAGGACCTCAATTTAAAACATTTAAGTGACTTAGAATAGATCATTTCCCTTCTTAAAATGTCAGTGAAGACACTTTCACCCTTTAAAACAAGGCAGATGACAACTGAGAAGTCCACATCCCTGAAATAGGCCAATCGCTTCAAAGCATTCCCCCTTATACCTGGAATGGTGATCATGTCATGCCCACCCACGTATCAAATATGAATCTGCTATGATCCAGTACCATTTCCCCATTTTAAAAACTCTAATAACGCTGGATAGTAGGACCCACATAGACCACAGGGTGAGTGCCCCCTGCTGGCCCCCACTAGCACCACTTTCAGCAACAACTTTAGTTTTTCTAGTTTTCTCCCATCCAGGTACTGACCTGGCTTTCAACTTGCTGTGTTACAGTGGGCTGCCAGATGTGAGTTGCAGGGCGATATACCTGCTAGAATTAATCAAGTCTAACCTATTCTATACAAATATGATCAAAACCTTGTAGATTATCTCTCCTCTTTCCTCACTCACAAGGAGGCGTCATCACCTGTATTAAAAAACAAAACATTTGACTTCTGATCACTCTCTGCCACAGGGCCTGCTCTTACCTTGTATAGAGCTGCTAAGTAATGATTTGTTTTGATGAGGAAAGGCTGATTAACTCCTGGGTGGTCCAAGTCATGTGTTGCAGCTGCCAACAGACCCAGGAGGATATCCCATGAAGTGAGGGATTTGGAAAGCTAAAAAGGAACAAGAAGTCGCATTTCAGGACAGGGAGTCCTTTTAATATCTGGAAATATTATCAAAAATGGAAACTTGGCTCCAATTTCTTGAAGTGTCACAATCCTAAGTCATGACCTTTAACAAAAGTTGCAAATGAATGGTGATTTCGTTTCATCCCAACTTCAAAGATGAATCATCAAGTAGCCAAGTAGATCCAACCCTTTACTATATAAACTTGAAGCTTTCGACTATCTCCTACAACTCAAATTCCTGTTTTCCACCCTAAATGAGTCTCCACACATCATTTTCTTTGCAATGAATCTGAAAGTCTCCTGGGCTTACCCTACATATATCCTTCAGGAACTGGAGTCAGTGCATACATCTCTGTGTTCTGTAGAGTTTACATGTATATGGTCTTTAACCTGCTCATATTTGACAATATGCACAGAATAATTCCTATTGCTCTTCTTCACGGTATAATGACAAAAATAAAATAAAAAAATCTTACAAGTACACTGTAAAAGTCACCTATGTGATATGCTCCTACTTCCTTCGTTCATCACTTTGCACTTGCTGACATTAACTTTAACTTGCTTAGCATCTAGCCAGTCCATTATTTTGTCCAAGTCTTTTTGTACATTCATTCCTGCAGTTTCTGTTTGTGACTATTGTTTTTGTATGATCTGCAAATTTAACTAGTTTAGTTTCTAACTAAACCAAAACCTAAATCATTGGAATATTTATGTATTAGGTGTACTATCAGTTTTTAGGTCTTTATCTTTAAAACATTCTTAATTTCTCAGTTTCTTAAACAATCCAGTCCTTATTTTCCTAGCTTAAAACTTAACTAACTGAGCAAGTAATATGTTTTGCCTTTAACATTGTTATTGAAGAAAACCACCTTTCTTCCTCCTTTGACTCCACAACGATCTGTTCCCAGTCCACTGCCTGCAAACCGTGCCTCATTACTTCTTAGCCTGCTATTCTGATATTATAAACCCTAATGTTGGACTGGTGCTTTAAGGTGTTTATCAAAAAACAGTATATTATGGTCACAACCTCCCTTTGGTCTTATCACATACATCCCTTAGATCAGGGCTGTCTGAAAAGACTAGGTCAATAAGGAGTCACTCATTGACCATAAAAGCTTTTCTTTTATGCATGGAAAACTGACATCTCCAAATAATGTCATTTTCTACTCTATTCCTAATCTCTTTAAGTGGCCTGAGCTAATATTGTTCCACTTTACCCATGCAGATTCTACATACCCCTCTAGCCTCCCTTATCTGGCACGCAGGTTATTTACAGTATACAGTTCCATCTCACCTCCCCTTCTATCTAGCCTTTTTTTCCAAAACAAGGTATACCCGTGAATTCTACAGTCAGCCCTGTCATTCTTCCCTAAACAGGTTTCCTATTTTCCCACAATATCACAATACGTTATTTATTGCAATTGTGCAACAGCCTCATGTTCTTGCATTTTAGTCTTCAAGTTACTTGCATGGAGCTATAAGCAAAATAATGGATATGTTCTTAAGTTTGATCTTCATGTTCTTAGTCCTAAATTTCCTAAACTGTCCCACTTTGAGCCATTTGCCTCAATTTCCTAGTTTAAAAACACCTCTACTACTGAACACATACACACTGTTCCAACACAGAGTACCTCTGGCTCAGGTCAAACCCATCCTGCTTCTACTGGTCACATCTGTCCAGAAAGATCCCCAGTGACAACGCATTGAAAAACATTATTTTTAGTTTGGAAAAATTGGCATTAATAAGATCACCAGTAACACTGATTCATTTCATCGTCATCCGCCGTACCAGAATGAAAATAAACCGCGACAGCAAACATACATGCTGGTTAAGCTCACTTACAGTACAGTGCAGAAAATAAAATGGTCTTTCTCACCTTGGGCTCCTTTAAATAACAGTGCATGGCCTGAGTCACATCAGCAGCATGAACAGCATTGTGATACGGGTTTTGACTGTGGTAGTCTTCTTGAACCATTACTAATAAAAACACAAACGGATTCATCAAACTATTACAACATTGCGCAATTCCAAGAGGGCAGAAACATATATACATTTTTTTTCTCTATCACCACCTCACTGCTTATGTGCAAGCACAGCCACACTCCTACTGTTTCATTATAGTTTAAGACCATGTAAACTATGCTCTACACAAATTATTTCATTAAACACAATGTTCTGTTAAATAGGAAACATTAAGATAGTGAACATTTCAATGTAACTGAAAACCCAATTTTTCTAAATATCACTGAAGATTCACAAATGTATATTTATTAAAAAGTCTCCAACCCAACTTAAAAAATCCAGGACAATCACATGCACAACTTGTATCAAAAGGAAAACAATTACCTAAAAATCTACGGAGTTTTACCATGTCTAATTGGAAGAGATCAATCAGTCCATACTGGTTAAACAAATGAAAAGTCAGGGAGACCAGGCTGTTTCCTGGAAAAAATAAAAACAACGGAATTAACAACATGGATTGGATTATGAGATTGCTTCTCACTCCCCTGTTCAGTTACTATACTAATTCAACCCTTGAAAGTACAAGCTGCTGACCTTAATAATGAAGTTTATATAATATTCTTCTGCCTTTCAGGAAATGTCACTTGAGTGAAACAGCCCCAGAAAATCACAAAACGGTAGATGTGCAAAGCCATATCAATGTAAATTATTTGAAAGCCATTGCCATCACAATTCGTTAGCCAAATGCACTGTTTTAAGAATGTACTGTATTTTTTTCATTTCACGGCTGTCCAATTAGTAATCATTCCATTAGGAGCTATTCCTTTCCTTCTCAGCTCACATCAACGGCTCCTGTTTAATTTGGCGATTTTGTTTGAAATGGCATCAAGGAAATCAGAGGAGCCAAGAGATTCAAGCCCAGCCCTGGTTGTGTCTACCAACGCTGAGCTGCTCCAAATATATAAATAAGCATTCTGGAAGTAAAATAAATTTAGGAATCATTTAATGTAATCAGGTTTCAACACAGAGCTTCCTAGACTACTGTTTATCAAACTTACCATTTGTTAGCCTGTCAAACAGAAATATGTCGAAGTTCCAGCTTCCAACTTTTTCCAGCATACACTGTAAAAAAATATTTCTAAAATGACCACACAGATTTACACATCAACAAAGGATCTTAATTGTGTTCACAGTGATTGTGCTACAACATCTACAAAAAATGAGCAAATTTATGGAGAACTTGCTTTCATTTTCATTTAATGCTGTAATCAGAAATGTTAATGTAAAAACAGTCTGTGCTTAACATTAAACGGCCTTAATATTAACAAACAGAACAGATTTTCTGTAGTAAACAAACTATTTTAGTTTTATAACTCTTCTAATGACAACTTCACATTCCAAATCTTCAAAACAGGCAGCGTCTCTAAATGGTGAACCATCTGAGCAGTTCCAGTTCATAACTGTCTTTTCCAGGTCTCTTTTTCCTCCAAGTAAAAGAATAACTTTCTTTCAAAGTGGCTTCCCCAGAGCGAAAAGGGCATGACGACCCCCCTCTTACCCTCTTCATTCCCATTTCCAGCTGCCCCCTTCAAGGAGGTGTTTTAGAAAGCCTGTGGTCAAGAGAAATGTCTACAAGAAATCCTTTGTTCCGTGTGCAATCAGTATATTAGCCACAGCTAAGTGACTGCTCCCTGCATGGAGCTATCAGACTGTGTGAAATGGAGCTGTGATATGGGTAGAGCAGGATGGGTGTATACTGATGCACATCTAAGACTACTGTTTGACTGAACGTGTATTTTATGTTGCGTGACGTGTTATTTTGCGTTTGTGTATGGCGAAGCCACGGAGAAATCGGACAGTGAAGTTCCCTCTTCTCTCACGCCCAGACCTTGGCTTGGCCGGTGTAGTCGTCGTCCAGGATGTAGAGGGGGTTCTGGGGAGGGGCGCCCCGGAAGAAACGCGAGGAGTGCAGGTACCTCTGGAAACTCAACAGCCGGCGGACCTTCCTGGCAGACAAAGGGCCCGCAGACTCGGGGCGGGCTGGAGACGGGCAAAAGAAAACACAACACACCAAAGGGGTTACACCATCACCGTGACCCCCGAATTGTATTTCCAAGACAAAACAGGTTTTGCCTTTGTTTAATAAAAAAAGAATATTCAATGCTTTTTTATTAATCTATTTTGTAAACAAACGTCTGTAAAACAGGAATAACCAACACCTCAAATCATAAAGGAGTCTGTGACAACTTTTTAAACGTAGGGGAGGAGAGATTTTAAAGCACTTATGCTTGGGGGAGCTACATTGTAAAGCACATAACATTGGTTTCACATTTAGAATTGCAGAAATATCCGTAAAAAAGAAAACGGAGTGACACTACCGATCTTCCTACATTGCTTCACAACGGATTCGCTTGAAAATCCTTTTTAAAAACACTAAATTGTTTTTCCATCCACACAGGCAGATCCACATAGTTTCTTAGTATAGTCAAATCACATTTTCTGTCATAGTTAACTTGATTTACTAATACGGCAAACAAGTCAAAATTTTCCTGGTTAGGGGCTTAAACGAGACGTTTTTTGTCAAAGCGCATCCCACTTCCAAATTCCCAATTATGTTTCAGAGAAACACATTTTTAAATGACAGAAAGTAAACACCATTCAAATTTCTTTTGAAAACACATCTTTCAACATTCACCGGACTTCACATTCCTTAAGCCAAACCATACAGAAGTTAAGTGACCTCAAAAAGAGAACTAAACAAACCAACAAGCCATTTTAAATCAAGTCCGAAAAGGTTCCCTGAATGTTTCCCTGGGAAAGGGCCTCTTTCCACCTTGCTACGCACCTTTCTCCCTCGGCCCCATGCAAGCTGAGCACAACGCCCAGCAGGCGAGACGAACCCCTCGGCCACAGAATTTCAGTTAATTTGTTTGGTCTTGGGGAAAAAAAGCAGCGGCGGCTTTTCGAACTCGGAGTTCCAGAACTCTTAACTGCCGCGAGGCACGCGGCGCCTCCGCCATTCAGGCAGAGGAACAAAACGCACACAAGTGACTGACCAGGTGGATCCAGCCATCGTGGGATCAACTGTATGTGGACGACTTCCCCCAGAAAAAATGACCAGAGGAGATTTAAAGTATTAGGCCATCCGGTGCACACCCCCAAAAAAAAAAAAACTTTATGGCAGAGGTTTTGCTGCCTACCAAACTACCAAGTGACCCTCACAGAAGCTCCCATAACATACCCTGTAAGCCCGAAGGTAATTTAGAGTAACTTGTGTCTATGTCCCAAATTACACCTTGCATCAGGGAATCTTAAAGTGTGAACACTCTGTGCCCTCAATTGATCACTGTAAATCCCAGCACCAGAACAGTTCAATGGGCTCCTCCAGACTGTACAAATACTCTACAACTACAGTTCCTCAGAGTGAGATTGCTGATTTTGTAAGTATGCTGTATGCTGCATTGCCTAAACCAAAAGAAGGCATCACAAAGTATTAAACCCGCACATTTGAACTAATACTTTCAACTACATGTTTTGTTTAGCACTTTAGGATTAAGTACTGAAAATGCACAGAATTGTTTTTAAGATATCTTCAAAAAGTGTACCTGGGACTTGAAACTAAAATAAAAAAAAAAAAACAAAACAGTGAGAGGGAGCCTATGATGAAATATCCCAAAATACATGATCGCAAGGGAAAACTGAAAAATACCCCGGACAAAAGCTGGTGTAACTGAAAAGTTCTTCCGAGTCCAAAGTTTACTTGTCAGCTGTTTCTCATATACTTTTGTGAGAAAGAAACTATTTATTGTTAGGTAAAACTACATTTGATGGTAAATAAAAAGGCAGCTGCTAATTATTCTGTCCCAATCGTATTAGTCATTCTTCACAAAAATTTAACAGGGTTTTAAAAACTACAGTCTTAAACATCTTGAGTTGTGCGCTTTAAGCAAAATGTCCAAGGTTTTCATCAATAGCCATTTCAAATTTTCCAATTCTTTTGGATTATTATTACTGTCCTATGACTGACAGACTTTTTTCGCCAAAAGCCTTTTTAGAGTCTTTTTCTGTGATTGTTTTATCTTCTGCAGCGGCCGTATTTTCCTTGGCTTTCTAGTTTTAATTCCATTTTGTGTAAAAATATTGTAAAGCACTATACAATTGCTTTTAAAGGCCATATTTTAAAATGGTTTTTGATAACTCTGTGCTGTCTAGATTCAGATTAGTGGTGGGCTAGGGGGACTGGCTGGAGCAGTCTGGATGAGGCCCAGAATGGAGCTGTTGTGGATGCTGAGGGAGTGGGGTGGTGTCAGAGCGGAGCCAATGTGAGCACGGAATACCATCCCCAGACGGAGGACACCAGCAGCTGCCCTGGCCGTCCCCACTGTGACTCGAGCCAAGCCAAGGCGCTGCCGAGACAGCGGCCCTCCCCTCCCCTCCCCCAGACCTGTACGGGAGTGGCCAGGGCAGGAGAGGGCCCTGCCAGTTCAGCATGTGCAACACTGTCCGATCCAAAAGAAAAACTATTAACAGCGCCACACAAAAAAATAAAGAGGACAAGCCTGGAAACTGTGGAAGAGTGCACTTAAAATGGAGAACGGGGGGACATCTCTTTGCGTTAAGGGAGGTGGGTGAATGTAACGGGCTGCCAAGTCACATTGCTGAAGGCAGCGCCCTGGCCTTCTTTTAAGAAGCGGCTGCAAGACTAGTAGGAGCTTCTGCAAAACTAAGTGAGCCAGGGGGACTGAACGGCGCCCCTCTTGATTGGAGCCAGTCTGATGTTCATCACCAGCCATGGCAACACTGGCAGCCAGACGTGTTTTTATCTCAGCGGAAGTTATTGCAAAAAGCCGTCGGCAGAAGGCAACAAAAAGGGACGTGTACAGAGGTTTGGAGGCCGTGGCTATTCCGACTGCGCCAGGGGCTGGGGACAAGGAACACATCCATATTTGAAAACAAGGGGAAGACGGTGAAAGGAATTTGGGGGGAAAAAAAAAGAGAACACCACAACGCCTTTAAAAAAATCCCTGTCCTCTTTGCTCTTTTTATATTTGGATAGACCCCAGTTTTGTGCTTTTATACTAGAATATGCCTATATACACTGAATTCGCAGTTTGATTTTGCCATGATTTCAATAAAACAATTTACATAAAAGTACTGTTAAAACACTTTCATACCCCAGCTGTTTTTATTCATGTTGTCAGTCTCAGGAATGGTGGGAACGAGGTTATGTCCAGTATTTGAAACTGACCACTAACCTCTAGTTGAGTCCCTCAACTCCTGCTCATTAACTACTGTCTTCCACCTCTCATTAACTGCTCTCTTCCCTCGTGGCTCCTTCCACCTGCTATCATCAGGACTGCTGCATCTACGGTCACGCTCCAGCCTATTCTCAAAGCTCATTTATCCAGACTCGTACACTAGCCTGAACCCTATGATTCATCTACTACACTGCTCTCCTTGACAGCCACAACAAAACCAGCTTTCCATGAGGTCAGTGTTTTTACTGCATAATTCATGACAGAGATCCATTCTCCAGTTTATATCTTTGACCTAATTAGATTACATATTGCACAACACAATAGTTGCACATGAAACTAAAATACTCATTGCACAAACTGTGATTGCTGTAACTTGCTCTTGATAATTAAAAATGTGTCTGCAAAATTAAAATGTGTTTATTATCTGTAAAATCCACATTTTATAGATAATGTAAAATGGGTGGAGCGGTGGCTCTATGGCTAAGGATCTGCCCCTGTAGCTGGAAGGTTGCCGGTTCAAATCCCGCAGCTGACAGAGGAATCCTACTCTGTTGGGCCCCTGTGCAAGGCCCTTAACCCCAACTGCTCCAGGGGTGCTGTACAATGGCTGACCCTGCACTCTGACCCCAGGCTCTCTCCCTGTCTGTGTGTCTCATGGAGAGCAAGCTGGGGTATGTGAAAAGATAATTCCTAATGCAAGAAATTGTAAAGGGTTAATAAAGTGATGTTATTATTATTTTGTTTTGATCATTCAGGTCTTGCACGGGTAGAATGCTACAGCACAGGAAACGTCCAATATCATATTCGTACTTGCTTTTCACACTTACAGTGCAAAATTCGGAAGTCGATGTACAGGTACGGATGAGAGCCCCGTCGTTCTGGTTCAAATCCCAACCGGCTTCGTACTCTCACATCTCCTGGAAGGCAGGAAAAAAACAGCCCTCAAGAAACTTTCAACAAGGCCTGCAGCTGGAAAACAGAGCTTATCTGGCAATGGCAAATAGCAGCTTATAATGTATGACAACTAATGAGCATGCAGCATCGTGCCAATGATTATTAAAAGTAAATGTCAGCAGAGGCATCAAAACAGATAAATAAGCTTGTGCTTTGCATTCAAACAAAACCAAAACGTAAAACACAGACTCTTTAATGATGCTTGTCAGTGCAACCTAGCGTGACATCTGTTAATACTCATTCAATATTTCATCTTTCAAAGGCTTTCAAGAAAATTTGCACAAACTGTAATACAAAATAATGGCAGCTTTCAGCAATTCAGTTGCTGATGATTGTAAAATTAGAAACTTTCCCACTAGCAGTTACTTACTTGAAAACAGCTGTTTGAATATTACACAAGCCCCTATCAAAATACCAAAACTGTGAATTAAAATTTAATACCACAAAATGTGAATGATGAAACTAAATCTGTGAAATGCGGGTTTTAAAATAATCAAGGTAAAGGAAACACATAAGGTAGAAATCTTTGATACAAACAATGCAAAACTGAACAAGCAAGCAGTGCTGACCAGGATGTTCTTGAAGAACACTGTGAAATAATTCAAACAAGCAACAAAAATAAATTCAGATTGTTTTAAACAGGTATGTAGAAGAATCAATGACTCATTGAAGGGCTCTCAGATTCACACAACTCTTGGAACAAAAAGCACTTTGGGTATAACACACAGGCCAAAGGGTGCCCTGTAATTCACAGCTTTACACTTTTCTTCCTGCTGGTCACTTGCATCAGTTCTCAGAAAAAATATATATAGAAAGATACAGAACAGTAGTTCAAAATGTGTAAACCTTTCCCCATAACTGCAGTTTAAAGCTTAATTCACTGACAAGAAAAATATTAACTGAGAAAAAAATTTTGTAAAAATACCTTCACTGGAAAACACATTTTGATTCAGTTTTTGGAGGGTAAGGCAATTGTGTTCATTTGCAAGGCAGATTTATTTGCAACATTGTCTGTCACTTGACTGAAAGCCTAGCAACAGCAAGTTGCTTAGTCATTAATAATTCTGTCCATTGCAGAATTAGACTGGCAAAGAACAGTACTTCCACCTCTCCAGAGACGTCTTCGAGCAGGAATGCATAATGAAACCATTCTCTTTTTATCTTCTAGTGCCTAGCTTTTAACTAGAAGACAAGGGCTTGGGATATGTAAACCCATATTTCAAAAAAACCTACTGAAAATAAAATAAAAATAAAAACATATTGTAAGTGCCACGAGAACTGCAGTTTTAGGGGGTGATAAAATGTGTTTAGTATTGAAAGGTGGGCTACAACGTGTTCCGTCTGCACGTTGAGGGCAAGTGAAACTGGATTCAGTGACAAGAGCATATTACAGAAGTGACATCACTTCCTCCCTAGAACCGTAGACTATGACATCACTTCCTCCCTAGAACCGTAGACTATGCAGAGCTAGCCCGCAGCGCACATCCTACGGGGTCTTTGTCGTAGGGCAGGTCACTGCTATCAAGGGAGCTGTGAGGTGCAAGCTCTAAGCCCGTGAATGACAATCTCACCATCGATGTGCTGCACTCAGTCATTTCAATTTTACTACAAACTGTAAAATGCCAATGTGTCTCATTCGGTTACGTATTGACTGCAGGTTTAAGAAATTCTGCTGTACCAGGATACACAAGTTGTTGCTCTCACCAACTGAATGGCCTATCAAGTGTCTTCATGTTCATGGAAAAATAGAAGATTGAATAAGTAGGATTTTTTTCTTATAACAAACATCCACCACTAGATTTTAAAAGCAAATGTAATTTTTAATTAAGGATATATGGACTAAGAATGAACAGCAATTATGGCCAGTTTCCTACTGACAAATCAAACTAAAAAGTGTAACTCTTACATAGTAAAACTGCAACTTACAAAGCCATCAATGTTTAAGCTCAACAGTTAGACTTAATTAAAAAGAAAACTCGGCTACAACAGCACTGGCACAAGAGCTGCATAACCCAGTGTGAGAAATCAAACAGACTTGACCTTTAGAACCCTTGTCCAATAGCATGAAGCCTCCCAATTATTCATGTCTTGCATGACCTGTATATAAAAGTTAGCTAAAGAAATGTAGGTGCATTTGTATTTTTCAACTTTTATTAAGTAAAATGTGAAAATGATCATTATAAATGTGTAATTATACACTAAATACTCTATTCAAATGTATTGGTATTCATCTGGCAATTTCACAAAGCCTCAGTATGTTTGTAAAAGCTGCTAGCATGTACCTTGAATATCTCTGTACTTAAAAAAAAAAACCACTCAGAACCTCAGACAAAAGATTATATATAAGATTATTTATCAAAAGGTTTGAGGTTAAAGCAAAGGCTGCAAACCTATCAGGAAGCGGATGCAAGAATGTTTTACTCAAATTTGTGATGTAGGCACAAAAGTGATCGTGAAGGATAGCTCGCAACCAAGAGTAACAGACCAATAGCAATGAAACATCTTCTCCTGATATTAAACAATATCAGGCTACAATGTTTACAAAATTACTGTCTTATGCTGGCCTCATGAATCTGGTCTGTGGTAGTTTTTTAGGGCAACATGAAACCAGAGTTGGGGTAAAAAGTAGCTTATTGCTTACAAATGTGACCAAATCACAGGATCATGCCAGCATTATGATTAGCAAAGAAAGGTGAAGCTCATTTTTCAAATAAGTTCATCCTTCTGTTAAGAACAGAAATGATCTGCTCAGCTTTGGGTGTGATTTGCGTGCCCTGGTCCTGGTGTCCCTCACTAAAACTGAGGACCAGTGAGATTACAAATTTTACCAAGATACTTGGAGCTCAGTCCTAGTCTCAAATGGACTGAAGAATAAGATAATGCAAAGTGTGTATTAAAACGCAATGGCAAATTTTGAAAGGCATATACATCTTTCGTTTTTAATTAGCATAAATTTATTGAAGGCCTGGATTTTCGTCAAAGTTGTGTATAAATTTAGAGAATATGATACGTATATGTGCAAAACAAGTCAATGTTTTTAAGATTTATCAGGGTTTTGTATAACATCATCAGGCACAAACAAGGTGGAATTACTAATGCTCATTTAAGTTCATTTAGAACTATAGTCTATGTTAATGTTCTAGATGCTCTGCAAATTGGATGTGCCAACTCAACTGTATTGTGTGCGATTGAAGGAGTTAAAACAGCTGTTTTAACATCTGTAATGATGATTTGTCTTTCCTAACACTGGTTTATTTTAGGCAACATTTCAAATTTCAGTTAATAACTTGCTTACTTATTTTTTCTTCATTGATGTTTCACTGAACTGAACTGAACAGTGAAACCCACCATATTCAGAATGGAAATTGATGGGAAGTGATTAACGCAAAAAACTGACATTTTATGATGGAAAAAAATACAAAACACAAACAAAAGGCTGATATCACTGGACAAGACTGTGGTAAAAAAAAATAAACTGAAGCACGCATGGAACAAAGTCACAATGATAAATACAGCTAGCTATTCACAGAAATCACAATTACTCTTCATCTTGTAAAATTACTAGAGGTCTGAGCAAACAAGTCACTGAAGAATTGTCCTTCTCCACTTCTCTAACTGCCTCATCACTCATGCAGGAACATGGAGGGCAGGTTCATTTACGTTGCAATGAGTGTAAGGTATGAAGCAGGGATCCAACTGCATGCACACCTGCTCAAGACCACCTTTCACTTCAAGGGGTCCATGGTCAAACTAGCAGGATTAATTACATTACTGAGAGGTGGAAAAGAAAACACTATCCCCTGATGATATTTTATTCAGGAATTGATATAACAATTCCAACCCTTGGAATGTCAAAAAGATCAAGAGCACTCACTAGTGATCATTCCAGTTAATCAGCAAACAAATGGCAAGACTGAAGCGTAACATACAAAAAAAAAACAAGTTCACTTCATTTTGGAAGTACTGTAATTTAAAATTCACACTCAACATAGATGAAAGGAAATTAAAGATTTCATAGAATACATGTTTTAGATAACAACAGTGGTCTTTAGTTAACCCAGTGGTCTTTACTGTGTAGATAAGCATGGGATCTGATCAAAGGATAATTGTTCTATATTTTTGGTTTCAGCATGGGTTTAAAGATCATTTGGATGGAAGCAAGGGTTTCAGTGACTTGTGTAGTTTGGCAATCTTCGAATTGTTAAATAAGTGAAATAAAAAAAACTCCTTTGAAAACCACCTTTTTTTCCAGTACTACCAGACAAAGTGGTTTTCTCAACTTACAGGAGTTCCAGCAAAAGTAGAAACAGTACTTACCTAGCATACGAATATACAGAGCAGTCTGATCAGAACTATCATAGGAGATTGCTCCACGTCTCTGCAAAAAAATGAAAAGAAAAATGACCATTCTGAAAGTATGGAACACTACTAAGTGGGATAAAGGCATTTTAAATCAGACACTAGGAAATCCTACCATGATGTGAAGGGAAATCTAAACATTTTAAATATATCATGAAATAATTTAAAGTTGCAAAAACAGGAGTTGTATAAACTCAAATTTACTTTAAAAATATCAATTTAGAAATTCAATCAACATATCAATATAAAGAGTATTAACTAGATGTGTTTTAAAAGTTTTCCGGTAATTGAAAGGACACCGGTAGAAAACAACACTACATTAAAACAATTTGCCTGATCAAATCAAGCTGAAAGGACTGTTTTGGGGAGCTGCAAAAAAACACAAAGGTTAGAAACAGGAAAAAGATATGTGGCCCCATTCAATTCAGTTGGTTGCAAGCGGCTAGTCGTGTACTGCATGTCGCAGTTTCTTGGAAGGTCAGGGTATTCGCTTTCACAATGTTAGATTGACTTTGTCAATTCCTCTGAGTTCTGAATTCTTGTATCAGGACTCTCAGTCTTATCTGTTCAAGACTCAAAAGATTTTTTTAGCCTAATAGGTAGCTACATCAAGTTCGGAGCTTCCCCATCTTATTTTTATCGTTTAGGACGTTCCCACACAATCCACACAGACAAAACACGCTGCATTCCCTTCTGAATCGACTTCTTAAAGTCTAGTTTAAAGTCTAAGTTGACTTATGTTAAAGAACGCTGGACTCGTGATTAGATAAAACAAGAGCTCTAAAAAACTGGGCAAAAGAAAAAGGGAGGAAAGGAAATGTTTAAAAGCAGCATCTTAAAAAGTCAGTTTGGTGTAGTACTTTCTTACACATTTGTAGCCAGTAATCCCGAACAGCAAGTAATTTTCTCATCATGATTCATACCTTCCTTCCACTGCAGCAATTTGGCTAATCAAACTGGTCTCCATGTCAGACAACTTCTGCGATCATGTTTTCTGAACAGATATTCTCCCACAGTTACAGGCATACCGGCAAGCAAAGCAAAATGTTTTTACATGATTTGGCTACCAAGAGTAAAGGCAGCCCTTTTCTGCCCTGTCACATTAAATATCATCCAGATTTGTATTCAGGTACGTGATGAATTAAAGAGTTACTTTTTACCTACACCCTAAGGCACAGTGGTGAATTATGGGTTACCAACTTCAATGTTACACGGTTTTTATCATTTGAATAAGAGGTGCTTTTTCTGCATTCAAACAGAAAACAAGACATGAAACTATTATCAGATTCTAAAGTTCCTTATTTCTAGTTAAAGCATCAGTAGCACTAAACCGCATTAGAGATTGCATCTTAGCAACATATCACTTGAAAAATCTTGGTTAATCCAGCCTACAACTACATCCTAAAATGCATGTTGATGTATACAAATGACCTGTATCAACACAGATGAAGACGTACTTGCAGGATATTGGCTGTTTCTTCACTACATTTATGTAATACTGGTATCTCTCAGATCATCTGCTGTATGTTACTTAAATTCTTACCACAGTCATGAAACTATTTCTCAGTTGACACCTTCCTGACGCATGGTTCATCAAAATAACATGCAGAACTGTTGCACACCAAGCTCAAATTCATTGTCATTATACTCATACACAGGAATATGGTATAACGGTTCAGATCGTAGGTGAGAGAGGCTGGGAGTTTAATAGTTTGATAGTGCAGGGGTAAAAACTGTCACTAAGTCTGGTAGTCCAACTCCGAATGCTCCGGTACCGTTTTCCAGATTATAGAGGGTCAAACAGTCTGTAGCTGGGGTGTGTGGGGTCTTTGATGATGCTCAGAGCTTTCCTCAAGCACCGCCTGTCATAAGTGTCCTGGATGGATGGGAGAGCAACCCCAGTGATGGACTGGGCAGTTTTCACCACCCGCTGTAGGGCTTTGCAGTCAGCGATACTGCAGTTGCCACACCACACTGTGATGCAACCTGTCAGTGTGCTTTCTGTAGTGCATCTGTAAAAGTTAGTGAGGATCTGGGGAGATATCTGAGCCTTTTTAAACCATCTTAGGAAGTACTTTCTTAATCAGACAAGATTAAGAAAGTACTTAATCTTTCTTAATCAGACAAGTGGCGTTGAGAGAACTGCTGACGAGCTGCAACCTTAACTTCCCAGGAGGTCTCCCAGCCAGGTACTGACCAGGCTCACACCTGCTGAGCTACACTGGGCTGCCAGTCATGAGCTGCAGAATGATATGGCTGCTGGCGTATTTAAATACAACGCTTGTGCCGAGCACCACCCAATATCAACCCTCATCCCCTCCCACTTATAGAACGGTTTCTGTTGTCTGAAGCACTACACAGCTACCTCTAAATAACTGAAAAACCAGGTTTCTGCTATACTTTATTATACAAAACAGCTCAGGCAGATCGATGTAGACAAATGGCTATCCACTTTTATCCCCCCCCTCCCCCATCGGGGTTTGAGGTTATGAAAGAGAAACCAAAGCAGCCGCTGTGAAACATTCAGCAGGAGTCCAGGCTCTTGCGGCTGCGTGCAGCCCAAGGACGAGAAGCTGCAAGGTCACACAAAGTCCACTGCCACCCGTCAGAATAATCTCACATCACACACTCCTATGGCAATATCTCTCTGCCCTCTGCCACGAGGGTATCATAGCTGGTTATAATAAATACATTATCTTTAAATATTATGACTTTTTTTCCCCTCAAATGAGCTGTATTATCCACATACACCTGCTGCTCCTTCTTGTTGTCCTTACAATAGCTCACTGTTGAGGACGATACAAACCCTGAAAGTGCCCCTCTGCAGGGCCCTGCGCCTCGTACCCCTGCAGCCTTCGGAGGAAAACGCTCATGCTTTCTGAGCTCCACCACAAACAGCTAACAGAAAACACTGGCACACCTCCAGGGCTACATTCAGATAGTTGGCTGGGGTGTCCCGAGATGGCATCAAATTCATTCTATGACGTCAATTGGCTGAACCAATTTGCATACTTGATTTTTATCCATTACCAACCCAACCCCTCGCCTCCCCCTTCATCCCTCTGAGCTTTAAAATGCAAAACAAAATCCTCGTAAACAGAGGTACAAAAGAGCTGCTCTATGGTTTTCTGCAGCAAAAGAAGAAACATCTAACGCAGGCATTTAAAGCATTCCTCTTACATATTTCACAAGGCTGTTGCTCAAACATTTAATGTTAATCATTAGTGACACTTACCAACTATTCCTTTCTACTAAAACGTATCTCAGCTTGCCAGAATGAACTGGAAGTCTTGTTAAGGACTATTAAAAACCTTATTTAGTATGCACAAGGACTACTTACACAGAGCGTAGAGTCTGTGACAAATGCCTATGATGTCTTACAGAAACAGATGTGACTGTGCACACAGCCTTCAAAGGTCTAGACTCCAGACATTGTATACTTTAAATACGGCTCCAGACTACAGCACACTCAAAAAGATCTGTTTCTGTTCAAAGTTTCAAGGTTGTCAGTTTTTGTTTACCTGAAAACTACTTAAGAGTTTTTACTTGGAGGCCAAGGTACAATGACCTCAACATCAATGAAAATTAAGTTTGGCATAGATCTCAGAATGAAAAATAAACAGTACAGCTGCTATACTCCATATATACATACACACAAGCATCTGAAGTAATAGTATTTTATATTGTGGATCGTATTTAAAAGTATATGAAAGCACTTCACAAAATACAGTAAAACAGAACACAGGTCAGAGCCGAACGACAGTAAATATTTACACAAGTTAAATTACACATTAAAACCCATACAAATGAGGTGATTAACAAAAACAATCATCATAATCAAATTCTTAATAGACCCAGGAAAGGACTTCCAAATGTGTGGAACCATAGTACGGAAAGCACTAATTCTTCTTTGGATAAGCAAGAGTATCTTTGACAAAGCAGAAGTTCCATTCTGGCACAATGTCAATGCTGACAGAGAAAATCCTTAAATTTAAGTTGGGCCCAGGTCATTTAGTGCCTGAAACGTAAGCAACAAGATGTTACAGTTGATTCAATATTTAACTGGTAACCAGTGGAACGATGCTAGGACTGGACATACACAACCCTCATTACAGTAAAATAGTTTTCTCTCATTATAACCCAGACCGAGTACTAATGCACTGTTTGTAAGATACCGGACACTCTGCTGGATCTCTGTAGGAACATTACTCAATATCTGTGTTATAATACCAAGGTTAAAGACTGAAAACTTGAATTGCTTTCTCCATACCAAACCCAGACAAGAGTGCTCTGTGGTACAAAATATTCTGAATCACCATCATGCACCACCATGTGTCGCATAAGTTTGTAACCTCAGAAACTGGCATAGTCTCATGACCATCAGCCACCAATCTAAAGTCTCAGACTGCACCGATGTGGTACAGTATGTGGCAAACTCAAAATTACCTCAGCTCTTGCTGCATTTTAACTGCAAATATTTTACCCCACACTTGTCTGAGGGACACCAGAAGTAATTCCAGCCAAACTTATACAATAAATTGCTTTGTGTCACAGCTAAGAACTATACTGCCTGTAAGGCTATAAGCAGTAAGGTCTCGACATACATGAGGGTTTGTTGCAGAGAACTGTCACAGATAGCCTAATTTGCACACAAAGTCCACCCCTATACTACACTGCAGTATATTTTTTAACCATGCAGACTATACAGGTACACTCCGTTATATAAGAAAATTAGCAAGGGATTGGCTTTAAATTAATTTCAATAACATTTATCAACTCAAAATAATAACGCACCTGAAGAAGCTCCACAGCCGATATGTTGGGTCTCTTTTCTTTTCTTTAAAGCAGGGAATAAACCTTCACCTGTTCCTCGAAATAATAATTACAAACCTGCAGTAAAAAATGCTACAATAGCACGGGTCCCTCTTTCTCTCTGCCTCCGTGATTAATTAGCGCCCGCTGTAATGAAAAGGGCGATAAAACTACAGTCCCCGACAGTCATCTCCAGCCCATCGTTCC